ATATAATATAATATATATAGAAAGAATTGCCAATGGCCATATTCATATATAAAAAGTTATTTGAAAATTTCATGGCAATTCATGTAAAAAACTTTCTTTGACAGCCGCAGAAAGTAGCTAGAAGCAAGACAACAACAACAACAACAAATAACAAAAATAACCAACATAGAGAAAGAAAACAGACACACATACACACACATATACGCACTCTGGCACGTGCGTCCCACTATGCGTATACGTTATGTGGAAATATCCTAAAATATTACCATTTTTTGCTTGAAAACCTTAATTCCAAAAAAAAAAAAAAAAAACAAAACAGAAACAAAATGATAAGAAAACCCTTAAAAGAACAATTCCCGGAAATACAGCAAAAAAAATCCAAAAGAAACCGAAAATAGTCTCGAAAATAAGGAAAATCAACAACATTTTCCCGGAAAATATAATACGAGTTTAAGTCGAATTTTACGCGGAAAATGGGGAAAAGGAAAATCCTTGATGAAGGCGATTATCGTATTTTACCGCTAAAATGAGTTTCCAGAAAATGGAAAATTAAAAAATGAAAATCAGTTCTGAAGAAGAGGAAAATTATATAGAAATAAGGGAAAAGTCTAAAGACTTTTAAAGAGAAAGTTTCTAAAAACTATTTTAATTTTAATAAAATTTATATTTTAACATTTAAAATATTTAAATAACATTCTAGTTAAGAAATTTAAGAAAATTAAGCATTTTTGAATAGAAATTTTTAACAATAAACCTGAAAAATGTCTGAAAAAAAATTATTAGAAAAAGGGAAACGCAGGTGTAGAGCACGTGTAGTATAGCTTATATCACTTACTGCCCCCTTGCACCACGCAAGAAAAACTTGCCACCTCAGTGGCATGAAAAACGGAAAACTGCAGGCGGAAGAAAAAAAAAACCAGTTTCGAAGAAAGAATGTGCTGCCTACTGTTTGGGGCCGGCAAGTGACAATGGAAAATGGTGGAAATTCTTGTGCAAAATGGCAGAAACGGAAAAGGTATTGAAAGAAAATTCTCAAGAGAGAAATATGTATATATTAAAAAAAATATATAATTTTATATAGTTTGAAGAGTAATTTTAATATCTTGCTTCAAACTAAACCTTATTAGTTTATAATAATTTTACTTTAGAATTTTTTTCAAGTGTAATCTTTTTTTTTGGTTTGTTTGATGAACGACGACAGTAATGATGAACGGTGATTTTCAACTGCACTTTTTCAGACTGATTTGCCAACGGACTTGGCAGCCAGACAGCCAGGATACGCACACTTGGCAAACACACGCATATATCCTACCGACACATAGGCAAACACATACACACACACACACACACACACACATACTTACAATGGCAGGACCTCCATTCAAGAGCAAATAGCAACTTCAAAATGTGTCAGGCAATGGAAGCGGAAAAGCATTCAAAAAAAAAAAAAAAAGACATACAAAATCGAAACAAAAAAATTACTCAGCCAAGGCAACTTTTCGTAAAGGAGCAAGGATATATATGTATGGGTGTGGGTGTATACAAAAGTGCGTGAGTGTGAGTGAGTGTGTGTGTGGGTGTGTAATAGCCCAAAACGGCAATGTTTAATTAAAAACGATAAAGGACACAACGCTGGCAATGGGCAATGCAAATAAGAGAGAAAAGTGAATGGAAAGGAGCGAACGGTTTTTGGGGGAAAATTACAAGAATTAGGGGGGGTGTTTAGGGGGTACAAAATAGAGTGAGGTATAAGGTAAAGTAGAGTAGTTAGAGTAAAAGGTATGGTCTAAGTAATGTATCAAGTAATGTGTAACGTAAGGAGTAACTGACGACCTAAAGGCAAGGTAAGGGGTGAGTATGGACTTTCTATCTTCAAAAACACAAATATATGGCAGCTCTAGGATAAAGTCCCCTGTAGGGTCCACAGTGATGGGTATATCTTCCCCAATTCTCATCCGATTCTCAAGCGGAGTACCTTAAACGATTTCTGAGTCGGTTTGCCATCATTCTGCATAAAAATCCTGACACAAAATATTTTTTAGATTTTTTGTCCATTTTTCCTGATGGGTCCCCTAGAAAATGGGGTTTTCCCCTATAGAGCCCACAGTGATGGCTATATCTTCCCCAATTCTCATCCGATTCTCAAGCGGAGTACCTTAAACGATTTCTGGGTCTATTTGCCATCATTCTGCATCAAAATCCTGACACAAAATATTTTTTAGATTTTTGTCCATTGCCATTTTCCTGATGGGTCCCCTAGAAAATGGGGTTTTCCCCTATAGGGCCCACAGTGATGGCTATATCTTCCCCAATTCTCATCCGATTCTCAAGCGGAGTACCTTAAACGATTTCTGAGTCTATTTGCCATCATTCTGCATCAAAATCCTGACACAAAATATTTTTTAGATTTTTTGTCCATTTTTCCTGATGGGTCCCCTAGAAAATGGGGTTTTCCCCTATAGGGCCCACAGTGATGGCTATATCTTCCCCAATTCTCATCCGATTCTCAAGCGGAGTACCTTAAACGATTTCTACATCGATTTGCCATCATTCTGCATCAAAATCCTGACACAAAATATTTTTTAGATTTTTTGTCCATTTTTCCTGATGGGTCCCCTAGAAAATGGAGTTTTCCCCTATAGGGCCCACAGTGATGGCTATATCTTCCCCAATTCTCATCCGATTCTCAAGCGGAGTACCTTAAACGATTTCTGAGTCGATTTGCCATCATTCTGCATCAAAATCCTGAGACAAAATATTTTTTAGATTTTTTGTCTATTTTTCCTGATGGGACCCCTTGGAAATGGGGTTTTCGCCTATAGGGCCCACAGCGATGTCTATATCTTTCACAATTCTGATCCGATTCTCAAGCGGAGTACCTTAAACGATTTCTGAGTCGGTTTGCCATCATTCTGCATCAAAATCCTGACACAAAATATTTTTTAGATTTTTTGTCCATTTTTCCTGATGGGTCCCCTAGAAAATGGGGTTTTCCCCTATAGAGCCCACAGTGATGGCTATATCTTCCCCAATTCTCATCCGATTCTCAAGCGGAGTACCTTAAACGATTTCTGGGTCTATTTGCCATCATTCTGCATCAAAATCCTGACACAAAATATTTTTTAGATTTTTTGTCCATTTTTCCTGATGGGTCCCCTAGAAAATGGGGTTTTCCCCTATAGAGCCCACAGTGATGGCTATATCTTCCCCAATTCTCATCCGATTCTCAAGCGGAGTACCTTAAACGATTTCTGGGTCGATTTGCCATCATTCTGCATCAAAATCCTGACACAAAATATTTTTTAGATTTTTTGTCCATTTTTCCTGATGGGTCCCCTAGAAAATGGGGCTTTCCCCTATAGGGCCCACAGTGATGGCTATATCTTCCCCAATTCTCATCCGATTCTCAAGCGGAGTACCTTAAACGATTCCTGGGTCGATTTGCCATCATTCTGCATCAAAATCCTGACACAAAATATTTTTAGATTTTTTGTCCATTTTTCCTGATGGGTCCCCTAGAAAATGGGGTTTTCCCCTATAGGGCCCACAGTGATGGCTATATCTTCCACAATTCTGATCCGATTCTCAAGCGGAGTACCTTAAACGATTTCTACATCGATTTGCCATCATTCTGCATCAAAATCCTGAAACAAAATATTTTTTAGATTTTTTGTCCATTTTTTCTGATGGGAACCTGATGAGCAATGTGTAGATTGAGTTTTAAAAAAGGAAGCAAATAAATACTAAAACTAAGTCATTAAGTAAAGTATTAAGTTAAGTATAGAACAACATTTAAATAAAGACAAAACCAAGGAGTAGCATTTATGGCAGACCCGGTGCGATTGACATCCAACGGATGCAGTTTCTCAGTTACATTTATGCCACCAACCAGCCATCTTTTGAAAGAACACAGATACTCCCACAAGGGGGCTTGTGGGGGGGGATGGTGGCACAACACAACACACCACACCCCTGGCCAAACGCCAAACAAATTGAAAGCGGAAATGGGACCCAGCCAGACCCCCTACCCAACCCCCCAACAGGACCCCCCAACACCCCTCCCATGGGCACAACGACAACGAAGGAAGCGAGTTGTCAAATAAAATTTCACTCGAACTGAAAGCGATTTTCCAAAGGGAATTCGAATCGAAAACGAATGCGAATCTTTTTGGCCCAGATCGAATTGGGATCTATTTGAGTTGTATGTGAGTGAGTGGGTGAATGGGTGGGTGGGTGGTTGAATGGTTGTTTTCAAGGACATCAAGTGGAAGGAGGAAAGATGGCAGGCAGGCAGGCAGGCTGGCAGGCTTCGATGACAGACAGTTGGGAGCCATATATTTAATTGCAGTCAATAAACATACATTCCATAAAGACAGCATAATTGCAGCCATGAATTTGTGAAAAAGCATAAAGCCATTTCCATTGAAAAGCAAAGGAAAAGTAAATATACATAAAGGAAATTAATAAAATACAATAATAAATACTCTGTCGTTTTATGAAAGGGAAGGGAGAGAAAATATTTCTTTAAAGGGTACAATTAAGACACAAAATATTTAAGCAAGTTCTTTTAAGAGAAAAGTACACCTATCCCCTTAATATAGATTTTATATATATTTTATTGAGGTTTTTTTTAAGTTATAAGTTTAAGAACTTCAAGTTTTTAAACCTAAAACTCTAATAGCTGACCCACAGGGCGTATGATTAATTTTTATCATAAAAGGAAGCTACTTTGGCAAATATTGAGATTTTTATTAAAATAAAGGCTTTAAAAATTTAGAAAATTATTATATGTATTTAAGGTTATTATTTTTAAATAAAAAAAAACCTTTTTTTTTAAGAAAATTTAGCTTCAAAGGTCTTGTTATCCAAGCAGTTATTAGAACCTTTCACTTAGAGAATAAAATACTCCCTTAAAAATTAATAAAATCTAAAATAAACACTGTATATCATTTCTTAAACTAACCCTTAATAACTAATATTTTTTTTTGGAGTCCACTCACCTTTCCCTGCGACGAGGAGATCGTTGAGGTCGACGGCGTACCCGAGGATTGTGCGCTTAAGTTGGAGCGGCTGCTGTTCGCTTGCATTGCGCCAAGCAGAGGCGCCGCGTCAAAGGGGGGCTCCCCTTATTTGGTTTTATTTTATTTTTAAGCTATAGACTCTGGCTCTCGTCACTAACGATCCTTACGTTTTTTCCTGATTCTCCAGTGCCTTGAATTTAAATTCAATATCAAAGGCACAGCCGTTGCACTAAAGTGGCTGTCATGGCAACGGAGGAGGACGAATCAGGGCATGGACACGGATATAGGGGATATAGATGTGGAGTCCAGGACTTCATTGTTCCCGCTTGCCTCAATTCGGCCTCAATTCGTTGGCATTTCGTCTTAAGACCGTTTCTATCTAATATCTCTAGAGCTTAACAGTAAAATGTCGCGTTGGAGTATTTGTTGTTTGGACTACTTAGTTGGTGTTCTGTAAAGTAAAATTTAGTAATACAGTATTAATAAATATTTTCTTAAAAAATATTAGTTAACAAAAAGGAAATATTTAAAACAAAATTAAGAAATAGGCATTTTTTTTAATTTTTAAAATAAAATGAAGCATATAATCCTTGTAAATAGTAAGAGCTTAGTGGTATTATTAGTACGTTTAATCATTTCTAGTATTTTTAAAATATTAGAAATAGTATTATGTAAATAGAAATAGCAAGACAATGGTGGGATTATTAGTACTATTAATAATCTTTGGTATTATTATGGTTTTCTAATTAATTTTAGATTTATTGTCTAACTTATAAAGGAAATGAAACCCAGAAAGTCTCAAAAATGTTACAATCCTTATAAATACCATAAATAACCCCTTTAAAAAATTTATTTCTTAACAAAAATACTTCATAACAAGAAAGGAAAGCTAACTTCGGGCGGAGCCGAAGTTTATATACCCTTGCAGTTAAAACCGGATATATATCGCAAACATCGGATATAGTTGGCCGATCCTTATGAGAATATGATAATATTACCCAATTTATTATAATACAAAAACGAAACCTAAAATTTACCCAAACTTCTATCTTCAAAAACACAAAAGTTGGGTCATTTCCGATCGTTCAGTTATATAGCAGCTATAGGATATAGTCGGCCGATCCTAATGAAATTTGGTAGGTTGGATCATCTGGCCAAAAATATAATCTGTATTAAGTTTCAGCTTTCTATCTTCAAAAACACGAAAGTTGGGTCATTTCCGATCGTTCAGTTATATGGCAGCTATAAGATATAGTCGGCCGATCCTTATGAAATTTGGCATGTCGTAATGGTTTGCCAAAAATAGCTCTCTTGTCAAATTTGAACTCTCTAACTCTAAAAACACCAAAGTTATACCATTTCCGATCAATCAGTTATATGGCAGCTATAGGATATAGTCGGCCGATCCGGGCCGTTCCGACTTATATACTGCGTGCAAAGGAAAGAAGGGTGTGTGCAAAGTTTCAAGACGATAGCTTTAAAACTGAGAGACTAGTTCGCGTAGAAACGGACAGACAGACAGACGGACAGACAGACGGACAGACAGACGGACAGACGGACAGACGGACAGACGGACATGCTCATATCAACTCAGGAGGTGATCCTGATCAAGAATATATATACTTTATAGGGTCGGAGATGTCTCCTTCACTGCGTTGCACACTTTTGGACAAAATTATAATACCCTCTGCAAGGGTATAAAAAGACAATATAAATCTTAAGTTAAAAAAAAACCCAAAATATCCTCTATGTACATTCCTAGTATTTATTTTTATGAGTCTGACTGCTCATTTCCCTGCTAGTTTATCCAGGATAATTTTTTGGTGGCCACTTCTTGCCCAAAAGGACTTACTTTCTTGCAAAAGAATCAACAACAACAACAAAAACAGAAAAAAGAAAATACTAAGAAGTGGGAAGCTGCTCTGCTAGCAGCGCTGCAACTGAGCAGCAGCGTCGCTAGCAGTTGACTCCGTAATGGCCAAAAATAGGGCTAGGTCATCCAACCGCCTCAGACCCCAGCCGAGGCGTTTGCATGGGCAAGGACAAAGACACAGCCGAGTATCCTTTTTAGGTGGCTGACTGACTGGCACGCCCATCCAAAAAAAAAAAAAACCAAAAAGGGGCGGCAGTGGCAGTGGCAGCGGCAGAGGCAGCATTTCCATGCCAAGGGCAGCGAAAGCAGCATTCGCAGAAATGCCTCTTTTTTTTTTTTGGTAGGAAAGGGGGGTTTCTTAGCTTTAACACACAGACATATACACACACATACATATATGTATAATACTGTATATATGTATATATTTAGTATTTTTGGATCCCAAGCCAAGCAGCAGCAGCAGCAGCACATTTTGCGGCGCAGACATAACCTCAACTTCTTGCGCGCTGCTTACCACGCTGCCGGCGTCGACAGCGCTGCTACCAGCAGCTGGGCGACAGAGCCAGAGGCAGTGGCAGCCATTTTAGAGGCCAGGCAACAGCATTACATGGATTTATGTCTCTCTATATATATATAATATATTATATATCCTTATAAAATATATAACCATGTGTGTGTGTGTGTGTGTGCCGCCTCCATCTCATTTTTACAGTTATTCTTCTGCAACAAAAGCCAAAAAAAAGGGGGGGAAATAGTGTCAAGGAAACTATAGATTAAATAATCGTTTTGTGGCTGGGGTGATCTTTCCGTTTAGTTGGGGTGTCTGCAAGGATATGGCTTAAGGTTCTTTAAAAATCAAGATTTACCACAAAACATTGCCTACTTTTGAGCACAAAATATAAACAAATTAAATCTCTAGATTGGTTTAAGTTTGGTTCTTAAGATCCTATTCTAAAATACTTAATAATTATTATTTAAAATTATAATATTTACTTACAATTTCCTCAGAAATAAAGATTGAGCTTTTGGATTGTTTTGTTATTATTTTTTGGCGTTTTTAGTTGTGCGTTTCGTTTGATAAACTTAATTCAAATTTTAATTATATATTCTACTAGCTTTTCATTTTCTTTCTTTTATTTTTAATAACTTCTATATATATATTTTTTATATTTTGCTTGTGCGCTTGTTGTTTTGTTTCTTATTTCTTTCTTTATTATTTCATTATTTCTATATATTTTTGTTGTTGCCTTGGCTTTTTTTTTTTTGGTGTTAGCCAAGGATTAATGAAACGCCGAAAAAAAAATACAAAAAAAAAAATCACGAAAATAACGAAACACACTCGCACCCACACACACTCAGGCACACACACACACACGAGCGCAAAATCACACCCGCACACACACACACGCACAGCGAGACAAGAACGCACACACACACACAAAACACACACTAACACAGTTACAAGCGCGCACGCGGCGAGAAAAAAAAATTAATTTTTTTTTTTGTTGGACAGCGGCAAGGATATTTGGTTTTTATTTTCTTATTTTTTTGAATGGAAATTTTATAATTTTTCTTTAATTTTTTGTAGTGCGAGTTTTTGAAATTTCTTTCTTAATTTTTTTGTTATTTATTTTATTATTTTTGTGGTTTATTTGCCGTTTTTTTTTCTTTTGTATTTCTCTTTTTTTCGGCTACGTTCCGGATTCCGGATTTCTTACGTGCAGTCCGTCCGGCGCTGCGCACGCCGCGATTGCCGCTGAATGGCGTCGACGAAAGTGGCACGACTTGCGTTGAAATCTTGCGCGAAACTGAGCTGCCTTTACTTTACTAAATCTGCTTTCACTGCCCGCTGCCACTGCCACTGCTGCTGCCTGCCACTGCCGCTGCCTTCTGCTACTTCTGCCGATTCTACTCCTCTTCTTCTTGCTGCTGTTGTTGTTGTAGTGATGCCGCTGTTTCTGGTTCTGCCGACTGCGAGTTGGCTCGAATCTCGAATTAAATCGAATCGCGCGTGGCTCTCCTCTCCGGACAAGGATACAGCGCAGCGTGGCTCCCGTGCGAGCAGCAGCCGTGCAGTGCCACTCAGTTCTGGTCCGCTCTGCTCGGTCCTGGCCACCTCCAGGCTCCGGATCCGGCTCAGGCTCCGGCACCAGCTCCGGCTGCGGCAGCGGCTCGAAACACGGCCACGGCTACGGTCACGACAGCAGCCGACGATGCCGGGACCCGAGGTCCTGCACAGTTGGCTGAGGTCTCACCAAAAATTTTTGATTAATTTTGAGTACAATTTAAAATTTTTCAAGGATATCTAAGACCTCTCTTTAAGGACATTTTCTTTATTTTGAATATTTTTTGAATTTTTCTAAAAGTATTGCCTACTTTTGGGCTGCTGTTTCCGGTTGAAATTCAAGAAACAAAAACGGCAGCCAACGAGGTTTTTAGGCAAAAATTTTGAAAAAAAAAATAAAAACGAACTTTAAAGCAACAACAACAACCCTAAAGCCACAATATTACAACAACTAAAATCCTACAAGAACAACAACAACAAAAACAGCACTACAACAACAACCACACTACAACAACAACAACAACACTACAACAACAACAAAAACAACAACAACAAAAACAACACTATAACAACAACAACACTAAAACAACAACAAAACTACAACAACAACAACAAAACTACAACAACAACAACACTAAAACAACAACAACAACAACAAAACTACAACAACAACAACACTACAACAATAACACTACAACAACAACACCACAAAAACAACAACACTACAACAACAACACTACAACTACAACAACAACACAACAAACACAACAACAGCAACAATCACAACACTAAAACAACAACAGAAAAATAAAAACAACAACAAAAACAATACTACAACAAATACTACTACAACAAAAGGACTACAACTAAAACAACACTACAACAATATTACTACAGCAACAACAACACTTCAGAAACAACAACACTACAGAAACAACATCACTACAAAAACAACAATTAAGCTTAAAACACATTTTAATAATAAAATTCTGGGCTGCTTACGTGCAACCTATGAGAAGCGAGGAGGAGGGCACTATTATTTTAATTAAAATCACAACAATAATAAAAAAAAAACAAAAAAAAAATAATCTTAAAACACAAAAAAATAATAAAATTCTCGGCTGCTTAAGTGCAACCTATGAGAAGCGAGGAGGAGGGCGTTCCGATTTTAATTAAAGTAAATATTTATTAATTTTTTTATTTTTTTGAATATTTCAAGAACTGTTTTTTTTAAAGCCCAACCTTAAAGTACAATTATTTAAGGCAATTAAGGACCTTATTGTTATACCCCTAAAGAACAAATATTTCCTAAACTAACATAATTATTTTATAAAAAACATAATTTTTTTTAAAGAAAAATCTCAAACCCCATGTCAGTGTGTTCTGCCGGCGCTGGACCATCGGGTGATGGCAGCGCAGCAGCCGAAAGGACACGACCCGAACCGAGTCCTGCCGAAGCCCAGCACAGCGAAGGGCTGCTGCGGGCTACGCGGTGGTGGAGCGGGTACTGATTTACAAAACACATGGCCTGCGAAGCAAAATCCACCCACCCATTGAGGACCAGCAACCACCCGGTCACCACCACCGCCCATCCACCCAGCCACCCACTCAGACAAGGGCGCGTGGCGAACGCCCGATGAGATTCTGATTGAGATTCAGTACCGGAGAGAGAACAGGGAGCGGTAGAGAGAAGGACACCAAATTGGAGAGGATGGCGAGAGAGCTGATGCCGGGCGAGGGTTGGGGGAGATGGATGGCGAGGATACACAGCGGACGGGATAGGACACGAAGGGATACGTCTGGCGGTGCAACAGCAGCTGTAACGGTATCCTTCTGCCTCCTGGTCCCTGGCCCCTGGCCCCTGCCCACGCCCCCCCCTGCCATTCATTACCCTCCCCCGCCCATTTTTCTGCACAAAACATGCGCAGCACGAAATCGCTAAAAAGTCACAACGGAAAACATATGACAGTGACATTTCATTTGCAACGTGATTTTAAAAAAATACTCCATAAGGTAATTTATAGAAAAAAAAGGAAGAGAAATTACCAAGAAAATGGGATTTTCATCAAACAAGTCTGAAGGATTTCCAGAGACATGTATAGGTTAAGGAGATAGCTTTTGAACGTTTTTTTTAAAGAATATTTTTAAAATCCCCAAAGAACAGAGTCTAAATGCTTGTATTTTATGGCTTAGATATTAGATCTATCAGAAATATATATGAAGAAACATAATACACCTATCTATTTTCAAAATAAAATGTATTCTAATATATATGTATAACATTTAAAAATCCGCGCCACATACGACTAATCGATAAATGCTTATCGATAAGGACCAACCAAAAATTAAAGATTACCCAACACTATTAGAAGATTTTCTATTATATTCAGACCAAAAACATCATAGCTATCAGCTATTAGAAAAACTATAAAAATCTTTAAGAAATTTAAATAGGAATTTAATTAATATTTCAAGTAATAGTAATCTCTTAATCTAATTAAATGAATTTTAAAACCAGGGCCACGGTGAGCTATCGAAAGCTGTTCCGCTGCGGAACCAGTTGCACTGCTCGGTCCAAAGACCAGTTCCAGTGCGAACTGGTTCCGCTTTTGAACAACTCTAGTTTTTTTTATTGGGCTATGTTTTAAAAACATATGCGGAAACGAAAATCAATACACGGCCAGCGAGAAGCAGTACGAACCGATCGGTAGGGATATCAGGATACGGATACGGATATAGCAACGTCGACAGCAACACAAACAGCGACTGCACTACCAGCAGCAGCAGTAGCAGCAGCCGTAGCAGCAGCAGCAGCAGCGGAGCCACAATGGTGTGTTCTGTGTCAGTGTGTGTGTGTGTTTTGTATCGTGTTGTCTGATTTCTCGGACGGATTTGGATTTCGTTTGCGTTTGCGTTGGTCATTAAAAGACGTCCTCATCGGCCGTAACATCGCCGTCTCACCGTCTTGCACAATCCGTGAGTACTGAATGACGACCCCCCCCTCCACTCTCCGCGATCTTGGCGGAGGGGCAGGGGAAGCTAAGTATCTGAGAAACTGAAACTGAAACCAAACCACCCGCCTGCCCGCCCGGCCGTCCGTGCGCTCCCCCACCCTTTCCCACATTTCTCCTTGCAGCTTTTTTTTATCACAAAAAAAAGAAAAAAACCAACAACAGTAACAACAAGAGCGGATCATCATCGTATTATAATAACAAAGACGTTTGGATCTGGATCTTGGGGGCGGAAGGCGCCATTCGTCGTCGATGTCGCCGTATGTGAACCTTTGATGTCACCGCCTGCCACACATCGTTTCGCTTCCAACCCAAGGATATCACACGAAAAGGATACGGAGTTGGAGCAGAAGACCCATCAGGAGCAATAGCCATGCTCCCCATTAGCGAGGAGCAGGGCCAAAAGTTGGACCAGCAACTGCAGGACCTTCAGGAGCCGGCCAACGGTCTGGATGACACGGACGTGGGCAATGGCAGCCTGTGGACGGCCCTCTACGACTACGATGCCCAGGGCGAGGACGAGCTCAACCTCAGGCGCGGCCAGATAGTCATCGTACTGTCCACCGATAGCGAGGTGTCCGGCGATGTCGGCTGGTGGACGGGCAAGATCGGCGATAAGGTAACTATATCAATTACCCAGTCCCCCCCCTCCCGTCAATGATTAATTCATCAAATCGAAGTGGAAATCAAAACAATTGGATGTTTAGTAACCTGAGCTTAGTACCCCGACTTCCAGTTTGTGAGTCAATGGGGAAACGCATGCGGGGATCTGGGTTAACAACCTCTGAATGGCACGAATACTCATAGACTCTGTTATTCCCAGGTGGGTGTATTTCCCAAGGACTTTGTCACCGACCAGGATCCACTCCAGCTGAACGTACCCTCGGCCATCGGTGACATCCAGCCGCATGAGATCGACTACGAGGAGCTGGACATCAAGGAGGTGATCGGCTCGGGGGGCTTCTGTAAAGTGCATCGCGGCTTCTACGATGGCGAGGAGGTGGCCATCAAGATAGCCCACCAAACGGGCGAGGATGACATGCAACGGATGCGCGACAATGTCCTCCAGGAGGCGAAACTCTTCTGGGCCCTCAAGCACAAGAACATCGCCGCCCTGCGCGGTGTCTGCCTCAAGACGAAGCTCTGCCTGGTGATGGAATACGCCCGTGGTGGCAGCTTGAATCGCATACTGGCCGGCAAGATCCCACCCGATGTCCTTGTCAACTGGGCGATCCAAATAGCACGCGGCATGAACTATCTGCACAATGAGGCGCCCATGTCGATCATACACCGTGACCTCAAGTCCTCCAATGTGCTCATCTACGAGGCCATCGAGGACAATCATCTGCAGCAGAAGACGCTGAAGATCACGGACTTTGGCCTCGCCAGGGAGATGTACAACACGCAGCGGATGAGTGCGGCGGGCACGTATGCCTGGATGCCGCCCGAGGTGATCAGTGTCAGCACGTACTCCAAGTAAGTTGAGGAGGGTGATTTGTTTATCAACAAATAGCCCCTCTTGGTGTCCAATAACAGAAATCACAAATAATGGCATTTTATCAATGAATTCTATAGATCATCGGATGTTTGGAGCTATGGTGTGCTGCTCTGGGAACTGATTACCGGCGAGACGCCCTACAAGGGATTCGATCCCCTGTCCGTGGCCTATGGCGTGGCTGTCAATACGCTGACGCTGCCGATACCAAAAACCTGCCCCGAAACCTGGGGAGCTCTCATGAAGAGTGAGTTTAATTCTCCAAAGATTTCTCTTTCAGTTTTTATTCAAAAAATTCTCTCGACAGGCTGCTGGCAAACGGATCCACACAAGCGACCTGGTTTCAAGGAGATACTCAAGCAACTGGAGAGCATCGCTCACTCCAAGTTCACGCTGACGCCGCAAGAGTCCTTCCACTACATGCAGGAGTGCTGGAAGAAGGAGATCGCCGAGGTGCTGCACGATCTGCGCGAAAAAGAAAAGGTATCCCATGTCTCTGTATTCCGGATGTCGGGTTTAGAGTTCCTCTAGAATCTAGATCGTTGGCCTTAAGCCGTTCTCTCTCTTCAACGAAAACCATTCCATTTCATCCTTCTCCTCCCGGTCCTTCTCTCTCACGGTCGTTGATAAAAAAAATTCTAATAATTTCGTTTATACTTTCTTCTCCAAAAAAAACGAAAAGCGTTTCCAAACCATCGAAGAGGTAAGCGCGTCCAACAGGTCTCCTTGATTTCCTTGCGTTTTTCGTTGCGTTATCCTTTCTATGAGTTGCTATGAGTTCTTCCCCCCGTTTGTTTATATATTCTTTTGATTGGATGAACTACTGCCCTCCGCCCTTACACACACACACACCCATTGCCCTACTTATGCTGCTGCATGGTTTCTAGTTCAATAGTTCCTCGTTTCTAGTTAGATCTTTAGTCCTTTATGAGAAACTGATGCTTAATCCTTGTTTGGTTTATCGACAGGAATTGCGCAACAAGGAGGAACAGCTGCTGAGGGTGCAAAACGAGCAGCGCGAGAAGGCGACTCTCCTGAAGATCCAGGAGCAAAATCTGCGGGAACGCGAAATGGAACTGATCGAAAGGGAGTTGGTGATGATGCAGCCAGTGCCCTCAAAGCGAAAACCCAAAAAGGTCAAAAAGGTAACTATATTTTAGAGATAATCTCTCTTAAAAATATTATTCATTTCATTATCTTGTTGCAGCATAAACCTCCTTTACAAATATCCCTGCCCACGGGCTTCCGGCACACCATTACGGCCGTACGCGACAAGGCGGAGCAGCCCGGATCGCCCTCCCTCTCTGGACTGCGCATTGTGGCACGTGAGTATCTCCTCCATTAGGAGGCTGGTTTAGCTTTAAGGGGCCTTGGTCCGTTATCTCATTGACGTGTACGTTTAGTCTGGGATTAGCCCGAGTTCATAAGATTAGTTAGAGATTAACTAATGCCTAGGTGAGTCACTAGCCAGGGTGCAGTGCGGTCATTACATTATCATCAGGGCTTATATTAAGATTATCACTAAGGTAATTCTAATTTATAAGGTAGAGGTTGTCTCTTTTTGTGTTGAACTATCTGGTGAGACAATATTTGCATTTCAAGGCCTGTAAAGCTCTTCGTTAGGTGTTTAATGCATTTTCTGTAAGACCGTTTCTTCAAACTCTAACCAGTATGACCTTGCTTTCTTAAAAGCTACCATAATTAGCACCTTTTAGGTAGGAAAACCTCTTTTAGGTTCCAATTAAACTGTTCAAAGCCCTCCAAAGCCCCTAATTCCATCTTTGAGTCATGTGCTATAAGACCGTTTCTTAAAATCGTGACCAGTGTGACCTTGCTGGCCCAAAAACTACCATAATTAGCACGTTTTTGGTAAGAAATCAGGTTATTATTTGAAAATAAATATATTTACTTTCCTTGAAACTATTTCAAGCTTTCTTAAGCCCTTAACTTCATGTTTGAAGCATTTTCAATGAGACCGTTTCTCCAAACTCTAACCAGTATGACCTTGCTGGCCTAAAAACTACCATAATTAGCACCTTTTTGGTAAGAAGGCCAGTTATTATTTAAAAATAGCTTAAAATTGTATTATTACTTGGAAAATTAACACCTTTAAGCTTTGAAATTGAATAAATCCAAATATTATAGGCCCCAAATAATAAAAAATATTTTTATGAAACGCACTGTACTTTCAATTAATCATCTTGAAGTGCACTACACCATTGGGGACTTAATTAGACTGAAGACTGAGATAAGATTAGGAGGCGAAATGAGGCCATCGGTGTAGCCCAAAACAGGTGATCCTGGTCATGGCTGAGGAATGTAGACAATGCCAGATTATTTCTATTATTTCTAGTCTTATTCTTAAGTTTTCTTATTTTTTATTGATTAATTTTTAGATTAATTGGATTTTTTGTTTTCTTTTGTTTGTTTTTCTCTTTTTATTTTTTTCCAATTATGTTTTAAAAATTAAAAATATAAAAAAATAAAAACCAGTAACCGATGGGCACAAGGGCAAGACCTGGGGCCCCTCGACGATGCACCAGCGTGAGAGATCCCTGCTCCCCAATCAGCTGGGCGGCAGCCAGTTGCCCGAGTGGCCAGCCCAGAGTTCCACCCACTCCAGCTTCAGTAAGAGTGCTCCCAATCTGGACAAGAAGCAGCAACAACAATTGCAACAACAACAACAACAGCAGCAACAACAACAACTAACGCCGCCAGCAAATTTGGGAGCATTGTGTGGTGGTGTCGTTGCCGCTGTGGTTGGTGGAGCCGGTACAGGTATACCATATTTTCTAACGGGACAATCCATCCACCACTTGACCAACAACAACAACAACAACAACCACATCACCAACAACTCAATCAACAACTCCACCACCACCACCACCACAACCTCCTCCTCCAACAACAACAACAACAACATAAGTCACTCCGCCAACAACAACAACAATCAACAAAATAATATTATTAATCATAACAATAATCAGAATAATAATAATAATAATAATAATAGTAATCAGAATAATAGCTACAATAATAGTAACAATAACAACCTCAGCCAAACTAACTCGAACGCATCACTAGCCAATGGAATGAACTCCAACAGCAGCCAGAACAAGCTCTATCATCGGGCGCGGAGCCAGGAATACGGTCTCGATCATCATCATCCCACGTTAACGATCTCCGACGATAGCTCGGAAACGGATACGGTCACCGGGCCAATGGGCTGTTTCCCCTTTCTCAAGCCCAGTGGCGGGAATCATTTGTCGTCCGGATCCTCGGGTGTGCCCCGATTCGGTGGCAGTCTGGGCAATAGTCCGGCCGTGGGCCGTAAGAAGCACTCGCTGGACAGCAATAGCAGCTGCAGCACCACCACCAACTGCCAGAGCAATATGGTTGGAGGGAATCCGGGTGGCAACCAGCAGCTACTGTATCCGCCGCCCTCCATCAGCCTGGCCCTGACACCCGCCTACCAGCTGCCCCAGCGATCCTCGGACGACAACAATACGTACGATCATGCCTTCTACCGGGACGTGGTGAAGAAGATCCACGCCAGCGGCAAGCGGGTCAACTCCAAGTCGAGCGGGGATCTCACCATGTACAGCTCTAGCACGAGGCTGACGATGGCGCGGGACTACGAGGATGCGGAGGAGGCCTTCGAGGGCGGTGGACGCTTCCATCGGAACGCCTCGGGCTCACAGTTTCCGCGGCACTGTTTCTTCACGCGGCAGGAAGGTGAACCATTGGATGTGGGCCAAGAGCTGGACGACGAGGACGAGGATGAGGACGAAGGAGAAGCCTCAACGACGGAGAAGGAGCCTCAGCAAGTGCGCCAAAACTCCACCACCTCGCGCAAGAGCTCGGTGACCTTTCAGAGTGTCAGCTTCGAGGAGCCGAACACCTCCATTAGCTTCGCCACCTACCGCTCCACCTCTCCGTCGCTGTCATCCTCCTCGCACTCGGCCTCCACGTCCGCCTCGTCGGGACCCACGGGCGTAGATGCCCTGAACGGCGTCGGCGGCTATCACATACAGGAGAACTCGATCCTGACCAACCGGCGAATGCTGGACGTCCAACCGCATCCGGATGTGATCCGAATGAAGGAGAACCTGCTGGCCGAGGAGCAGCGCCAGCACACCAAAAACCAAAAGAAGCAACGCCCCAAGCAGATCACCAAGTCCAAGTCCGTGGAGACGCCCAACGAACCGAATCACTCGCACCATCATCACTACCATCATCCGCATCATCATCGGTCCACCAGCAAGATCCAGTCCCTCCTGAATCTCTTCACGCGCTCCCACAAGAAGAAGAACTACAGCAAGCTGGCGGAGCACAATATGGCGGGCATGGGTGTGTCCGGTGCGGATTTCGTGGCCATAGATCCCTACCAGACGGATCATGGATCGATGAAGCGGAAGAGCAAGAAGAAGCAGACGCAGTCCTGCGAGCAATTGGAGAGGTGTTAGATCGTGTTTGAACTTGTTACATCATGTTAGATCTTGTCAGATCATGTTGAAACTTGTTAGATCATGTTGAAACTTGTTAGATCTTGTCAGATCATGCTCGAACTTGTTAGATCACGTCAGATCATGTTGAAACTTTTTAGATCTTGTCAGATCATGCTCGAACTTGTTTAATCACTTCAGATCATGTTAGATCCTGCTTAGCTGCTGTTGGAGTTGGCCCATTGTTTTATATTAAAACCCTAAACTAAGCAAAGTTACAGACAGCAGCCAAGGACCCCACAAGGACTTCCCAACGAAGGACAAACCAATCTAACAAAAAAGAAACTACAATTGAAAACGTTTTTTTAACCGAATTGTTCCTAACGAATGCAATAATTTACCAGATAATTGCCCAATTAGTCCAGTGATTTGGTCCTGAAGCAAAATATATATATGGAGATATATACAAATCGACGATAAACTAACAAAAACTTTTACCCAAAAAATGTGCATGAGTAGCCTAAGTGGCTAAATAAAACCATAAATATTCAACTAAACCATATAAAGAAATATGTAAAAGTTGAAAAATAAAACCATATCTTTTAAGATTATAGTGTTTGAGACTCGCCTCCGGACATTATTAAAATATAAAATTTATATCTTAGTTGAACTAAGTTTTTAGTTTTTTTAGGATATATTATTATTTTTTGAAAAATCTTTCTATTTTTTTGTTCTTTTTTAATTTTTTCTTTCGAAAACTAAACAATTCTGTATCCAGATTTCTGATAATTGCACTCCATTTGGTATTTTGAACACAGTTTTATTTAAAATATTTTTTTTTTATTATGCAATCGGGTTTCCCAATTAATTTATTTATGCAAAAAAAAACCTGTGATCAAAAAAAAAAAAAGAAACAATGATTATAAAAAAGAAAAACCACAAAAAAATGGATTAATTTTTGTATTATTTTTATGTAAAATTCTTCAAATTGTATATTTATAAATTATATATATATATATATATATATTCAGTTAATGATTTTGTTCATTTTACGTTTACTTTTTCGATTTCATTTCAAATAATGTACTTTGTATATTAATTTTTTATTCTTTTTTTTTTTTTGGGTAGAGCTTGAACCCGAACCCAAAAAAAAAATTAAAAAATAAATCTAGAAACGAAAACTTGACAATAAAAACAAAAAAAAAACAACTAAAGACAAATCAGAACAGTTTTTAATAATTTATTTTTTAAGTTAAGTTTTTAAAGTTGATTTCTTTTAAGTATTTTTTCTCTCAGTGCATTAAAAACCTAACCTCCAAGAAAAAGTTTAGGTCCTGATCCTGGTTCCGGGATGGTATGGTGCGGTGTTGCCTGCGGTTACTAGTGTTTCCCCCAAAACACCCCCTCTTTAATCCCCACACCCACCCCCTTAAGTAACCTCTCAAGTAACTAAGATTCGAATGTCTCCATTGGAATGCTGCTCCTCCGATCAGGCTACCAGGGCAGCGGGAAGATGGAGGACTGGCGTCCGGGAGCCAGCAACATGCCCATCATGTCGCCGTCGCCGTACCTCCTCAGCCGGTTCACCAGTAACGTGCCCCTGCCTACGCTGTACGCCGGCGACTCGGCCCGGAAGCCCAAGCTCTCCGTGATTGAGCTGCTGCTGTACAACATGGCCTCGCTGCTGGCCGGAGTGGCGGCTGGCTACGATGTCCGGATGTCCAATGTCTCGCCAGTGCATCCCACGTTGCTGAGTGAAGTTCCAGCTCTGAAGGCGGCACCGAAGGCCACCAAGCTGGTGGAACTGAAGGAGGAGGAGGCTGCCATAGTAGAGCAGCCGCAGCAGCAGCAGCTCAGGGATCAGGAGGAGTCACTGGAGCAGCGGCAGCGACTGGAGGATGAGCCGAAGAACCAGCGGGACAGCACTCCCCGGAAGGTGGTTCCTCAAAATAGGTAGGAGTGGCCTAATCCCTTGATTTTAAAACCTAATCCTCGGACCATCTTCTCTCGCAGATTCCCGGGAATGGAGACCACGATTAGCAAGTCTCAGCCCACATCCCTGGCCAGACGCATCGGCGGCAGTCAGCCGTACTACACGCCCGTTCAGAGGACTCCCCAGCATCAGTTGCACCACCACCAGAAGCAGCAACAACTGCCTCTCCACCACCAACCTCCGGCCCAGTCCACGCCAGCTGTGGCCCAGAATCCAGGCGGTTTGGTGAACCTATATGGCGGCACGAATCCGCCAACACCCTCGCCCCGCCGCAAGCTGAGCAACAGCAGCTTTGGGAACCCAAATCCCAGTCCCAGCACGACGGCAAATCCCAATCCCCAGGCGGATGTCTTTGAGGAGTTTCGGGTGGGCGGCGGAATCGGTCCTCCGCCCCTGTACGCTCCGGCGGACTATCTCCGGAATGGACCCAGTTACTCGAACGATGGAGGAAACTACAGGAATGGCTACTTTGGTAAGGGAATAAGCCATCAATCCTCTCCAGAAATCTTAATAGTTATCCTTTCAGGTTCCAATTACTTCCCCTATCGGCCAGAGTTGAACTACAGCTACGAGAGGGATTGCAAGTCGTATCCGGACTACTCCTACGACTACAATCACCGACTGCCGGACTACTACGACTACCAGTACGAGCCGCCAATGGTGCAGGTTCCAGTACCTGTGGTACCCGTAGTACCCGTTGTGTCCCAGACCCGGACACCACCGCCCCGGGTACCACAAATGGGCGTCAGCGCGGCCGGACACCGACGCACACCCTCCACGGTTTCCAACAACTCCAACGTCCTCATGGAGCACGAGGAGCTGCTCTGCTACGACTACAATAACCTCAATCTAAACACGGACTACGAGCGGGACAGGGAGAGGGAGGCAGTGGCTCCGCCCACCAAGCAGGAGCTCTACGCCGGATCTCCGAAGCTATTGAATCGCCTGATCCACAGCCCCCTGCCGATGACAAAGAGCAAGTACGCAGTCACCCGGCCGGCGAGTCTGCCCTTCGAGCAGCATGTCCTGCCAATGGGATACCAGACGAATCAGCCGCCCCTGGCCCCTCCACTGGCGACCACGTCCGCCTCCGTGAACGCCTCAGCGGCCGCCAAGCTGCGCAGCTCCCTCAAGAAGTACAACGGTGGCGGGGGCGGTAATGGTTCCGTCTCCTCCCAGCAGGGCACGCCCACCAATCCCACGCCCCCCGACTCGCTCACTAGCGACGACAGCTCCTATCTGAGTGCCAAAGAGGGCTCCATCGGCTCCCAGCACAGTCGGGTGCGGTTCAGTCCGGAGGCCTATCTGGACGCCAATCCCCTGCCCTCGCTCTCCCGCCGGATGACGGCTCCGGCGGTTCACCAATCTCAGCAGCAGCAGCAGCAGCGCCGCCAGCGTCAGGTTTCCAGCGGCAGCACGCCCTCCCCATCCGCCTCGTCCTCCTAGCAGGCGCGTCTGGCGCTGACCCTTCAGTTGGCGCGAAGTCCGGGAGCGGACATCGGAGGCCTAGTGGCCTTGGGATCTGGATCAGGGGCGGGCGGAGGAGCAACTGCCGGAGTGGGAGGAGGATCAGGGCTGGCACTACATCAGCAGCGGGTACCGTATCGCTGGTATTCCGGAGCACGCCGGTCACGGTCGGCACACTACGAGTACCGCCTGTGAGTGAAAGAGAGGGAAGTAAGCCAAAAGAAAAGAGATGGCAAGAGTGGGAATATGAAAAGAGCTTTTGGAGAAAAAAAGTAAAAGATCCTGGAGAATAAGGACATCTTAAGGAGGATTTCTATTAAGAGTTAAAAAAAAAACATTCATGAAATTCTTAAAAAAAATTAAAAAGCAACAATAAGAGACAAAAAATACTAAGAAACTTAAAAAATAAACTCAAAAGCATTAAAAAGAAAAAGCAAATAATATCTCATGTGATCCTTAAATACTCCAGAAAGTTAAAAGAAGCCCCAAAGAAATATATCAGAAGATCAGCTAAATTAAAAACTAAGAAAAATAAAAACTCTAATAACTTTTAAAAACAAAAATGCAATAATGAATAATATTTAAAAAAAAAAAAAACAGGCAAGAAATCAGAGAGAAAGCAATGACAGGACAGAGCTAGAAAAATCAAAAGGATCGAGGGAAAAGGACTAACCAAATATATATATATATTGGGAGGATATATATCCTCCATAGATATATAAGGAAGGGAAACAGAAAGCAACCAAAAATGTGAGCCCAAGGAATTCCAGATATTATTATAGATATATAGCTGACAGAAATCCAAATCAAAACAGATAAAGCCTGTAAATAAAATTAGTCAAAAACAAACTAACTAAAAAATAATATAAATATTAAAATAAATTCAATGTTAATATTAGCCAACGGGTGTTTCTGGCAAAGGTTTTCCAATTCAAACAAAAAAATATTAATTCATTATCATCTTCAAAAAAACAGAAAACCCAGAAACAAACCTGATATATAATGCTATATATATGGTATATATATATATATATTTGCTAACCCCCGACTTGTGCGATTTGCCTTAAAAAAAAATGTAGAGTGAAGACTTCACTAGTTTTGCCTGATGATCATTAAAAGTAAAAACCCTGAACCGATATATAGTACTTCGATCCTATGTATAATGTAAATTATTTAACAGCCAGCTAGCAAGCCATTAAAACAACAATAATTATTAATAATAATACTTTGTAATTCCAAGGACATCCACATCCCAAATCGAAAAACAAAAAAAAAATTATGAAAAAAAAACACACGCCAGCCGTAAGCTCCATTTTTAAGTCTGATAAAAAAATGTTTATATATTCATACTTATATATATATATATAGTATATAGTGTATATTTATGGACACTTAGATTATAGAACCGATATAGGATGCGTTATAAGTTATAACCCCAAGAATACTAGCTCTGAATTGAAATAACAGTATAACTTAATGATCGATTTACAAAAAAATACTTATAATGGATATTATATATATATAAACGCATATATCGAAAGCATATTGCTGCTGTTTTTTTCCAAAAAAAAACAAAATATATATATATATACATATATTATAATGAATAGGTATGATAATGATGTAATGAAAATGAATTTGAACATATATCCCATATACATGAATACTGCTACTTAAATGCTTATTATGTAAAAAAAAAATATATATATATTTTCGGGATATTTTCAAAAACTTTAAAGATTTTACGATTTCGATTTCGAAAAAAATTTTCAAAAGAGCTTTAGACTTTTTTCCAAGCATTCGCTTTAAAGCTTTCGAAAATATCCCGTTAACAAAGAAAACTGTATAACATGTTGAGACATGTTGAGTGCACAAAAAGTATCCTTCGGATTTCGAGGAGAAATCAATTATGAAGTTAGAAACCAAGCAATATAGCCAAAACAGTTGACCTTTGAACCTATTTAGCTTAATTGCATTTGCTTGCATTATTTATTAATTAGCTTTCAATTCTAATTCGAATCACACGTATTGTTTATATTTTTATTTTTACAAATTTTTGGGAGGTTTTTTTTTTGGGGGGAAAGTGGGGATTCGATGAAGGACGTTCTTTCAAGGACGAATAAAATAAATAATGGAGACACACACACACAAATATGCAATAACAAAATGCTGCTTGTGACTTATGTTATGTACAAATTAGCAATTAACAATTGAGGATTCATTTAAAAAAAAAAAAAAAAAAAACATTCAGAGACCAAAATGCGAAATGAAAAACTATTTTTTATAGAAAAAAAAGAGAGTGTTTTAATTGGATTTTAAGATTATATCTTATGGGTAAGTAAGTTCAAAAAAGAGGGATGTTTTTATTGGAGAACACCCCTTAATAAGACTTTATTTATTCCAATAATTAAATATTTTTAGCTGTGAAACCCCGGAAACCCATTCAATAGTTCCCATGTTTACCTTTTCTTTTAAATTATTAATTAATTAGCCACCAAGAAGTCTTAATTGTTTTCAATTAGAAAGTTTTTTTTAGCAATTAACAATTGGAAATACATTTAAATGATTTAGTAAACTAAATGCAAAAAAAAGACAAAAAAATCTATTTATTTAGTAAAGCAAAAGTTTGAACTTGACCTTTTAGAGAATAAAAATCCTTATAAAAGGAACTAATGAGGCTTGTGGGAACCTCAAAAGTAGAGCAACCATGATGGCAGTTGGACGGAGTACAGAGCCCAAACCGGAAGCGGAAGAATCACCTCCATTACCAGAATCCAAAGAATGTTTTCGAAATCTTTTCAATTGTTTCTATGCCTTGGGAATGCAGGCTCCGGATGGCAGTCTCCCGACTAGGAGCAGCACCTGGCGACGAATCTACGGATGCTTTTCGTCTGTGATGTACGTCTGGCAACTGATCCTGGTGCCAACATTCTTCGTAATCAGCTACAGATACATCGAGGGCATGGAGATGACCCAGATTCTGACCTCCATTCAGGTGGCCATCGATGCCGTGATTCTGCCCGCCAAGATTGTGGCTCTGGCATGGAATCTGTCGCTGTTGCGGAGAGCCGAGTACTACCTGGCCAAGTTGGATGGGCGGTGCAAGGATGCAGAGGAGTTCCATATGATTGCGGAGGCGGGAAGGTTTTGCAACCGCCTGGTCTGGTTCTACCAGATCTGCTATGCCATCTACTCCACCTCGACGTTCCTGTGCTCCTTCCTGCTCGGACAGCCGCCGTATGCGTTGTACCTTCCGGGCCTCGACTGGAGCCGCTCCAAGGTGCAGTTCAACATCCAGGCCTGGATCGAGTTCCTCATCATGAACTGGACATGTCTCCATCAGGCCAGCGACGATGTCTACGCCGTCATCTACCTGTATGTGGTGCGGGTTCAGGTCCAACTCCTGGCGCGGAGAGTGAGGCAACTGGGCAGTGGGGATCCCCCGGAGAGCTATCCGGATGAACGGCGGCAGGAGGAGCACTGCCAGGAGCTGCAGAAGTGCATCGTGGATCATCAGACGGTGCTGAAGCTGCTCGGCTGCATCTCTCCGGTCATCTCGAGGACGATCTTCGTCCAGTTCCTGATCACCGCCGCCATCATGGGCACCACCATGATAAACATCTTCATTTTCGCCAACACCAACACCAAGATCTCATCGATCATATACCTGATGGCCGTCACCCTGCAGACGGCTCCCTGCTGCTACCAGGCCACCTCCCTGATGCTGGACAACGAGCACCTGGCCCTGGCCATCTGCCAGAGCCGCTGGCTGGGCCAGAGCGCCCGCTTCCGCAAGATGCTCCTCTTCTACCTCCACCACGCCCAGCAGCCCATCACGCTCACGGCCATGAAGCTCTTTCCCATCAACCTGGCCACCTACTTTAGTGTGAGTTTTCCAGAAATATATCCAATCTTTGTTCGATGTCCTATTCGTCCTCAAGGTCCTTCGAAAATTATATGGTCCCATATCCCAATTCTCATCCGATTCTTGATCGGATTGTTTTAAATGATTTGTATTTCGATTCTCCACCATTCTGCATCAAAACATTGGATCGAAATATTTTTCAAAATTTTTTCCCATTTTTGTGGGGAGATCCCTTGGAAAAGTAGGATTTTCGCATGTGGCCCCAAGCTATACTCATATCTTGGCCAATTCTCACCCGATTCTTGATCGGATTATTTTGAATGATTTGTATTTCAATTCTTAACCATTCTGCATCAAAATATGAGATCGAAATATTTTTTAAAATTTTTTCGCATTTTTGTGGGGAGATCCCTTCGAAAAGTAGGATTTTCGCATGTGGCCCCAAGCTATACCCATATCTTGGCCAATGCTCATCCGATTCTTGATCGGATTGTTTTAAATGATTCGTATTTCGGTTCTCCACCGTTCTGCATCAAAACATTGGATCGAAATATTTTTCATAATTTTTTCCCATTTTTGTGGGGAGATCCCTTCGAAAAGTAGGATTTTCGCATGTGGCCCCAAGCTATACCCATATCTTGGCCAATTCTCACCCGATTCTTGATCGGATTGTTTTAAATGATTTGTATTTCGATTCTCCACCATTCTGCATCAAAACATTGGAACGAAAGAATTTTGAAAATTTGTTCCCATTTTTGTGGGGAGATCCCTTGGAAAAGTATGATTTTCGCATGTGGCCCCGAACTATACCCATATCTGGGCCAATTCTGACCCGATTCTTGATCGGATTGTTTTAAATGATTTGTATTTCGATTCTCCACCATTCTGCATCAAAACATTGGATCGAAATATTTTTTCAAATTTTTTCCCATTTTTGTGGGAAAGCCTTCTTGGAAAGGCAAGGTTTTAATGTTTATATTCAATTTTATTCTTTTCTTTGCAGATAGCCAAATTCTCCTTCTCTCTATACACTCTCATTAAAGGAATGAACTTGGGCGAGAGATTAACAAAAACAAATTAAAACTAAATCATTTATTATAAAAACTATGTAGAAAAAAAAAAGAATAGTAGATTTATTTACTAGTGGTTTAGGAAATAAAATGAACCTTGTTGTGTTAGAAGACAAAAAATGTAGCTGTGAAAAATAGTTTTAAAAATAAAACCCCATTAATTTACAAATAAAATTAAAAATTAGTTTAAATTAAGAATAATGTCTAATCGGAATATGATTTTGTTGTCCAACACTGCCCACTCCAATTGGACTTTGGCGCTTCCGTTATGCAGCACTGCTCAAAGTTTGTTATTGTCCGGCTGATTTTGTTGCTAATTTTTTGTTTATATTTGGCCAGGAGGCCAAAATGCTGCGAAATCTTAGCCGCAAAACGGCTCCAAAACACTGTCGCACTTGTCTCGTCAAATTGGACAAAGGCGAACTAAAGGAGCAGGAGATTATGGAGATTCCAATTAGCCAGGAGTTGGAAAAGCTACTTAATATTTATAATTCCATGGATAACAGGCCCGATAACCTGCTGGAGGAGCACTGGTGGCCAAGGACACTGTGCTCCCAGTGCCAGGATACAGTAAAGATCTTTGAAAAGTTTCGTAGAAAAGCAGAAGATTCCAGGCAACAGTTGCTAGAGCTTCTGAAAGAGGAGAGTGAACCGGAGGAGCACGAGGAGGAGGACACCCCAGATCAGGAGCCTAACTTCGAGGTGGTCTACGATCACCTGGATACGAATCCCCACAACGGGCAGGACTCGTTACAAAGCTCGGAGTCGCCAGAACCGCCCGATCCCGACCCCAAACCAGATCCCATTGCCAAAAGAGAGGAGAAATCCCCCAGCAGGAGAACCAGAAACAGCCTGAAGTGCTCACTGTGCCGGCACAGCTTTGCCAATCAGCTGACCCTCTCGGCGCACGTCCGGAAGGTGCATGAGGGCAGCAAGCGACCGTTCCAGTGCGACAAATGCGAGAAGGCCTACAGTTTCATGGGCGGTCTGTACACCCACATCCGGGAGGTGCATGCTCCGCTAGAGCGTCGGCATCCCTGCGACCAGCCTGGCTGCGAGCGGGTTTACACCAGCCGGGTGGCCATGCAGAAGCACAAGCGACTTAAGCATAATCCCAGGTGAGGATAAGACTCTTTCTTGACTTGTAGATTCTATGATTTCCTTTATATTTCTGGATAGAGCTCGGGATCTGGCGCGAAAGTTCATTTGCGAACAATGCGGTGCCAGCTTTAACCAATCCGCCAATCTGAAGTACCACCGACGCACCAAACACCCCACGGAGGACGAGGTGGCCGCCAAGGAGGGCGGCAGCGGCGAGCGTTACTTCTGTGAGCCCTGCCAGAAGGAGTTCCATTCGCGGTACACGCTCAAGTATCACACCCTGCAACAGCACTCCGCCGGAGACGCGGGACAGGAGGCGGTACTGCCACACGAGTGCCAGGTTTGTGGCCGCCGGATGGCCAAGAAGTTCATGCTGCTGCAGCACATGCTGATGCACTCCAGCGAGAAGCTGCCCTGCGAGCACTGTGGCCGCCAGTTCGCCCGCCGATTCGAGCTGGAGGCCCATGTCCGGGCGGTGCACCTCAAGCTCAAGCCCTTTACCTGCCACCACTGCCCCGAGAGCTTCGCTTCGCGGAAAACCCTGCGCCATCACGAGTACATCCACACGGGAGAAAAGCCGTATGTGTGCGACACCTGCGGCCAGGCCTTCCGGCAGCAGACGTGCCTCAAAAACCATCGCAAAGTCCATGAAAAGTAGTCCATAAGTCGAACTTTAAACTCAAAAAACAAGCATTAACTTAACTAACTTTAGTCAAATGAATTACAGAGTTTTATGTGGTTTCCGGTGGCTTGGAATCGGGATGTGTGTCGTGGCTCTGCCGCTCCCGCTCTATATAAACGGGCAGATCCTCAAGCGGGCGGTAGTATAGATGCACAGCCTGGGAGCCGGCCATCATGGCCAGCATGGCACTGCCCAGGAACTTCATGTACTGACCCCACGAGACTCCGGCGGGCATGATTGCTAATTATACTCTATTGCGAGCTCTGGTCCTGTCTTTCGTGCAAGTGCTGCTGCTCCTCGACGTAGTTTTTGGCCTGACGACGCTTAAAAGTGCGATCTAAAACGGAAATAGACCTTGTAAACAAAGAATTTTTGGAGAAAAAATCAGAAAAACCTACAGAAATTAGTCTCTCCCACTGTCCAGTTGATCATAGAGAATTCCAGGCCGGCTCCCAGTAAAAAGAAGAGCGGCAGGAAGCGGTAGACACCAAAGCGCTTCTTTCCGGGCCAACTGTCCAGGAGACGACGGACGGAGCCGCTGTACAGACTCATGTGTTTTCCGGTATTATATAATTGTGCGTCTCTTTCGGCCTCTTTCCCGGCGAAATGTGCAGGTGTTGCCTGTATCTGTTGATGCTGTCACATGTGTCCTTAAGTATTCTTGATGATTGGTCTGAAATTCAAGTAGTTTAGTATTTATTTCATTTAAAAATTCAATAAATAAATAGAGTCTACTTGAAACCTGCCTTACTGTTTCGATTTCTACTAGTTCCGCAGGGAACAGCTGATGGAGCAGTGTGACCCCATCGTTTTAGGGGAAAAAACAAAGCTCGTTGGAGATGAACTAGTTCGTGACACGCTCCGCGGGAATCCCCATTTATTTATATTACTTATTTTTCTATAAATTTAATAACTTATTGCCATTAAATATGTTTTAGATTACCTGCTGGCTAAGCTCTACTAAAAAGATTACTAAAAGACAGATTTTTACATTGTTTTAATGAAAGGAAATCAATAATTTTATTTTTAATTTAATACTTAATGTTTTTTTTATTATAACAGGTGGTTTTTTTTTACTTCTTTAAACATTCACCTGTGTCCTGTCCTCGTGACTCGTGACGATTTTCTGCAAATTTCCAATCCCTACGCCGTTGGCCAACACTGGCTGCTCTGCGCACCTTGCAAAGAAAATAGTAAACAATTTTTTTTTAAGCCGAAATATGATACACAGCCTGTTCATAGTCAACAACAGCGGGTAGGTTTATATTGTTAGTGCAAAACATATACCCTTTTCACCCACAACTCCCATCCCACACAGCGAGGTGTTCCTGGAGAAGCACTGGCGTTCGGTGGTTTCGCGTTCCGTTTGCGAATATTTTCTGGATGCCCAGCGGGCCGCTCCATATGTATGTTACCATATGCCACGTATTGGATTATTTTCAAACCACTCTTATCATCTAGGATGTGCCGCCGGTGATAGCCACACCCCATTATTATCTCATCACAGTGCAACGGGATGCTGTCTCGCTGGTGGCGGCCTGCAAACAGGAGGTTCCACCTCTCTTTGTCATCGAATTCCTCCATCGTGTGGTGGACACATTCCAGGACTATTTCGGCGACTGTTCGGAGACCGTAATCAAGGATAACTATGTAGTGGTCTACGAATTGCTGGACGAGATGCTCGACAATGGTTTCCCGCTGGCCACCGAGAGCAACATCCTCAAGGAGCTGATCAAGCCACCAAATATCCTGCGCACCATTGCCAACACGGTGACGGGCAAGAGCAAGTTCGTAGTGTCCTGATGGGTTGCCTTTCTTTTTTTTAATTCTGGCTATTTTTCCGACAGTGTCAGCACCATACTGCCTTCGGGTCAGTTGTCGGCCATTCCCTGGCGTAGAAGTGGAGTGAGGTACACGAACAACGAGGCGTACTTTGATGTCATCGAGGAGGTGGACGCCATCATAGACAAGTCCGGCTCTACGGTGTTTGCTGAGATACAGGGGCATGTAAGGGCATACGAGGGTATCCTTTAGAAAGTCTCCTACACCTGCTCTCTTTCCAGATCGATTGCTGCATTAAGTTGTCAGGCATGCCAGATCTTACGTTGTCCTTTATGAACCCACGTCTCTTTGACGACGTCTCCTTCCATCCCTGCGTCCGTTTCAAGCGCTGGGAGGCCGAGCGCCTGCTCTCCTTTATCCCGCCCGATGGCAACTTCCGGCTCATGTCCTATCACATCAGTTCCCAATCCGTGGTGGCCATTCCCATCTACATAAGGCACAATTTTTCCATCAAAACGGGTGAACAGGGTCGTTTGGATCTGACGATTGGACCGCGTAACACCCTCGGACGCACCGTGGACAAGGTGAAGCTGGAGCTGACGATGCCGCGGTGTGTTCTCAACTGCCTGCTGACCCCCAATCAGGGCAAGTACACCTTCGATTCAGTTACAAAGACGCTGTCGTGGGATGTGGGCCGCATAGATGTATCCAAGTTGCCAAATATAAGGGGATCGGTAAGTGAAAGTTAGGATCTAAGCTAGACTAACTAATCTTAACTAATTGGATTACCTCTTAAGGTTTCTATTACGCCCGGTACGACAAACATCGATGCCAATCCGTCCGTGAACGTACAGTTCCAAATCTCACAGCTGGCCGTCTCCGGTCTGAAGGTGAATCGCCTAGACATGTATGGGGAGAAGTACAAGCCCTTCAAGGGCGTCAAATACCTGACCAAGGCGGGCAAGTTCCAGGTGCGAATGTAGGACCTGCCACAGCGTTCCGATTCCGTTTCCAGCTTTAATTAAGAGCTTACTTTTAAGTATACATACTATACCATAAATATACATATATATATACATATACATATATATTCCATTGTTATGTGTCCAACATCCACCCATATAGTGTCTCAAGCATCTCGCTCTGTATCTATCTATCTATCCATAAAAGTTCAACTCCAATTGTGGTTTCTAGAGTTGTGGGTCTTGGGCAACGTCGCCATATTTTAGCGGAGAGGCGAGAATCGATGGGGAATGAAGTTGCAAGCGGCATGCCATGCCCCATTCCACCACTCGAAGCCGCTGGTAACTGGAAACGTTCGCCTGGCAACAGCCTGGCCAACCAGACTAGCTGCTAACCCGCCAACCGCCATCCACCAACCAAAGTAACCAATAAATTTAAATGAAAATGCAAAACTTGATTTTGCAGGCCAACGCATTTAGCATACGAATGGTATGTATACATGTCTTTATGTTTCGGAGGATATTCGATAAAGAGGATATAACCTAACCTTAAACAAATAAACCTTTTAATATTTAAACCATTAATTTAAAACCTAATTAAAGTCAAAAAAGTGTTAATTTATTTTTATAAAATATTAAATCTTTAGAGGCTTTACTGTATCTATTGTACTTCACCCCTCTCTGGCTTGTTATCGGCACAAATACAGCTTTTGCTGCATTTTTGTCTGTGGCCGAGACCGGTTTGTCTGTTGCTGCCCCTCACTTAACCCCTCTGTAACCCCCGGTAACCCCCACTTTAACGCCTCTTAATGCCCCCCTTGCCGCTGCAAGTGAACTTCTAGGCTTCTGGGTGCGGCGTGCAACGGTAGCAACAAGCGCCACCAAAAAACGACCATGGCTAGACATGTTATACACACACGTCGCACAGCCAGATCAGGCTCCTGCACCAAGCCATGCCCCAATCCGGACTCCCAACCAAGCCACCAAAACCAAACCAATCCAATCCGATTCGAATCGAATCGAAAAAAAATAACTCATCGACGAGTGAGCGAAAAATCATTTTTCAAGCGTGGGAAACTCTCGTTTAAGGCCAGTGCCAGGGGAGTGGGCGGGTAGGCAGGTCTCAACAATTCGCCACACAGCATGGTGGCATGCCCCAAAAAAAAAATGGAGGAAAAAAACTGGCCAAGAGGCGGTTTTTAGACGCTCATTAGCAGCGGGCGACTAAAAATGTGTTGCAGCCAGTTTGTTGCCTAAGTCTTTCGTTCTGCCCTCCTAGGGCTTCTCTTACTCTTGCTCTTGCTTCTCTCCCCTTTGCTTCCTCTGACCCTATAGGTTTTACACTTAAAAAAAAATAGGTTTCAAAAAATTTAATAAGAAATTACAAAAAAAAAGAAAATGCTTACGTTTTATAAAAACTTTTCAAATTATATTGAAAAGGTCTTATATTTTAAAAGGTCTTATTGTATTATTGTTTGTTATTTTAAATATACTATATTTTTTAAGTATAATTATGAGAACCCCAAAGGCATTTATCTCTGGTAATTGATACCACATTTCATACGCTTCAATTGTAAATGCTTTCCATCTCATTTGCATTTTTCCGAGCCCTAGGGAAAACAATTAAAAACAAGAATCAAAGTTCTCTACAAAAAAAGGTTCGAACAAGCTTATATCCTGTAATTTGAGAACTAAAATGTATATATTAATAATATATAAAATCTCAATAAAATAAAGCTTTTGATAGGAAAAACAAAAATTAAATTGTTTCAAAAATCATCAAGAAAGAAAATACCCTTAGAAAAGGGTATCATAAAAAAATGTATCAACAATTCCAATGCCATAAAAGGTGATTGTTATTAAAATTCTTTCACTTCGTTAACAAATTTCTAGCATTTAAGGCAGCTTTTTTAATGAACTTTATAAATCATTAAAAAAGATCATATCAATCATAGATCATAGAAATCATATATGCATAGTTATCTCTTATATTTATCTTAAACATTATTTGTTCAGTGCATTTATGTGCTCTGGTTTGGTAACATTTTCCGATTTTCCATTTAACTTGAACTATTAACGTCTTGCTAAGTGATTGAAAATGAATGCAAATTGAGCTTTACTTGCATTTGATCTACTTAAATATTTTAAGAGTTTTAAGAAGTTGGGATTAAGCTTTAAATAGACTTGTATATACCCTTTTAGGGTTTATTTTTTCAAAGAAATTTAAAAAATAGACTCCAACCATATAGTTTTCTAGAAAAAGGTTATATATTTTATTCATCTTTAGAATTCCAAGTCATAAGCATTTTTTTAAATATTTAGTATCGCCTCTTGAATTCAAAAATACAATATTAGACCTCCACCTTAGACAAAAATCCATGTCTAAGCCACCTTGAAGCTAATGGAGCCTTTTGGCCTAAAAAATAACGAAAAAATATAAAAAATTCAAGTGAAAGACAAGCAACTAGAAACATGAATTTGTCATTAGCGGCAACAAGGTTGCTTCTCCTTCTTCTACAAAAAAAAAAAAATAAAATAAAGGAAAAAAAGATTGTAAGTCGTGCAATTGCATTTGCTGTTCGATAATAATTTATGCAACTTGTTGTCAATGCACTAAACAAATGTTTAAACTCATGTTGTTCGCCCTGTTTGCTTGCATTGTGCCTGGTGCTTTGTGCTGTGTTTGTTTGCATTTTGATTGTTGTTTGCCCAACTTTGCGAAAGGTGTTATATGCCGGTCGCGTCAATTGGATCGTCCCACATGATTTCAAAACCATAAACCAGAGCACAATCCTATCCTATTCCCTCCCTGCCTCTAGAATGACCAATAAACATTATTCGACTGTCGTCTGGCCAGCTAATTACATATGCTGATTGTCTCTCTGGTTTTTCAAAAAAAAATAGAAACAAGTGGGGTATTTATGGGTAGGGTTTTCAAAAAATAGATATAGGTTATCGTATATATAGAGAAGTGTCTAAAGTGGGGGTTTACGAAAGGTTTATATGTTTGCCTTAGGTTTCTAAAAGTATTATCACATAATTCTTTTTTTAGGGCTATTTTAGTCTGAGACTTATTTTAAACTAAGAAACCCTAAGTATTTGGATTTTATCCAAATAAGGGTAAGAAACCACCAGTCTTTAACTCAAAGATTAAATAAATATACCATTATTATAGGTTCTCCTTCCCAAAAAAACCCAGGGTATGCTAAATAGACTTCTAGAGAGACTCATTAAAAACGATTGAAACTTCCGCTCTTTGAAAGCCCAAGAAAATCATAAAACCCTAAAAAAACTTTTAAAAAAAACTCAATTTTAAGACCCAATGAAATATGAAAAATGTTTAAACTGGAACTGGAACTATAACTGGAACATATCCCAGAATCAGATAAAAGCGACAAAGAAACTTCCCAATCATAATTCTCCCCACAACTGCAACGAAAAAAAAAGAGGCAGAAAAGTGTGTTTATGGAACATATATGTATATGGATATATGTATAGAGTGGACCCCACAATCTCTCACAATCAGGCTGTGTGATTACTCATTTTTCAACTTTAATTGCATAAACAAAAAAACAAAAAGCCAGACACCAATCAACGACAGACCCCTGTCCTGAAAGGGATTTGCTTACAAAGTTCCCAATTTTTGCGACAAACAAAATATTAATTGCTTACGCATTCAAACTTTTTTTTTTATTTGTTTTGTTTGATAAATATTTTGATATGCTAATGCAAGAGTTTTAAACAGATATAGAATGGAATTTACACGGGTATCTAATAGATACATAGATACAAGAGTATCGGGTGGAATATGTTTACTTTTCACGAGCGCCGACTAATTAGCGAATGTCACAAATTGTTTTTAATTAATCGATTTATAAGAGGTTAGAGGTCATTGATAAATTATCAGTATATCAAAAAAAAAAAAAAAAAGGAATAAAAATATTAAACAGGCGCTAAGATAAAAGTTTGCATTATATTTTAAGTTAAGACTAAAAGTTTATCCAAAAAGCCAACAAGGTAAAACTGGATTCTTGAAAAAGAGGGTAATTTACTGAATCGAGAAAAAACAGGAATAAATAAAGAACCGAAAACCAGAAACAATTGTCACCAAAAAAAAAGCTAAAAATATAAACAAAAAAAAGTAAACCAGCCGCCATAACAATAAATCTTCCAACAAACAAACAAAAAACAGACGCCAGATAAATAAAACAAAACCCCAAAAGAAAAAACCGCTATATAGAAAAACACTGATATTTTTTTAAATAAATAAATTGCTTTTAAAATGAAATTTAGGTGTTCGGGCGTTACGTAAAAACATTCGCCGCCAGGGGCCGTTCAAATGAAATAGATCGTCGTGGACCTGAGGCCTGATGTTGCAATTCTTTTGTGAGAATTGCGGAAAATTAATTTGAAAATTGCTCGACAATCCCCAAGTGCAAGGTCAGCCAAAAAGGGTGTGAGTTGATTAGTGGGTGGGTGGTATATATGACATCCATCTATCCAACCATATGGCACAGCCACGATTCGGGAAATGAAACTAGATCCAGGAAGGTGGCAATCCAAGCCGAGATTTCCCCAGGAAGTTCTGGTTGACAATCTGTTTGGGTAAACTATTTATTTTTTTTGGTCTTTGTGGGGGTATTATCATATTTCGTAAATGGGAAATTGTGGATTGCTTAATGGGTTTCACTAATGGGGTTTTTTTATAAGGGTTATTAAAGGTTTCTAGGTTACCAAAGTTAATCCTAATTTTGGGTATTTTCATATTAAAAGATACTTCTATATTTATTCAAAGATTTATACTTTAGACTTAAGGCCTTTTAGATTCTTTAAGAGATCTATAGATATATCCTAGTACCCTATATCCTAGTATTCCTATCCTTAACTCCATCCTATACTATCCTATCTAAACTCCATAATACCTTTTCTTATAAAAACTACGTTAAGAGTTCCTCGACCCCAGATCCATTTAAATTTCTATAGGCATTATGTCTCTATATTCCGATATCATTTCGCTTTCCTTGGAATGGATCCCATGGCGTAATATTTATTACGAGTACGAGTATTTATTGAGGCCAATTGCAGCGTTTAACTCAATTTGATATGCTAATTTGCTCAACATCTTCTCGGTTTCCACCGGCCGTTCTATACTATATCATATATCAGATATATTGCCACACTTTTTCATGTAAATTTTGCAACAGGTCTGCTTACTTTTATTTATATAAAAAATTACTCAAATTCCAAAGAAACAAGTGTGGAAAAAGTTCTTGACTAACCAACTTAAGTTCTCCAAATCCTTCACCTACTTAAAGTTAAACTAATCATGCTTAGTGATAATAAATTTAATATAAAACTATTAAAAATAGCAACAAAAAATCACGTAACAATCGAGTCATTGAAACCGTATAGTTTATCTACGTCAAATGACGAAAAACGATCGAAATAGGGTTATTTTGTTAGAAGCGACTCATTTACCAGGTACTCCGTCGACTCATTTAATAGAGCCCAATAATGGCCACTACGTGAGGTCTTTTTTATTTATTAATTTTTGTTTATTCTAATGGCCAGTATATAGCAAAAAATAGGACTTATTTGTCAGAGCTATACTTTGGCACGAGCGGAAACTAGATCCGGAAAAATATTCATTGGAGGCCCTACTCACCTGTTGTTTGTGGCTCTGATTATAATGATTCATTTTATTATTGATGGTTTAATAGTATTTTTAATTATTAGTTATCAAGGAAATTTCAGAAAGAGATCTAAGATTTAAAGTTTTTATAGAAAATTAAAACCCCACTAGAACTCAAGTCTAATATAAAGATATTCCTTTTTAAAAAGATATCCTATTTCACTATACCCCTAATATTTCCCTCTAGAACCTCCTATAGTCTATAAGGCATAGAACCACTATTTCTAAAACTATTTAGAAATCTGGGCTGAGGCTTTCAGTTGGGGTCAAAGACCGTTAGAGCCCCGTGAGGTCGTGAGGTCCAAAGTTTGCACTCAGTCAACACGTTTTGGGTTCCAATCATAAAATGTATAGGAAAAAAAAAATGAAAAAACTCAGAACCCTAGAAAAGTAAAGTTTACAAGGTGTGTGTTTACAGAACCTTTAAAGTTTGTTTGTAATTGTTTTTAAGTGAAAAAAAAACCCGCACCCCCTTCCTCCCCATCCATAGATAAGATTTTCCATTTGTTTACTTTGATTTTCCTTGTTTTTTTTTGGGTTTTCTTTTATTTTTGGAAATGGAAATGATAAATCATAAAAAAATAAAGAAATATAGTTTGTTTTGTGTGGTTTTTTTTTATTGTTGTTTTTATTGTTGTTTAATGTAAGTATTTATAAGTATATGGAATTGAAATTGAAACTTAGCTTAGGGCTTGGCTCGTTTATCTCGTTCTGTGGATAAACACACAGAGTTACAAACACTTTTATTTGATTTTCGATTGCTTTCTGGCTTCTTTCGTCTCACTTTTTTTTTTGCAGTGTACTTTTTTTTTTCATTTTTTTGTCTTTTAAATATTGCTTTTGAGTCTTTCATTTTTTGTTTGTTTGTCTTTTCCATGCTTACACATATTCGCTTACATATATTAAATATATATATTTTGTTTTTCATTATTTTTACAAAAATATATACGTTTATAAATAAATTTATTTTCTCTCTTCATTATTGATGAGTTCGGGGGTGTTTGTTGTTGTTGTTGTGTAAAAAAAATTGCGCTAAACTAAATAAATGCTACAAAAGATATGCAAAAAAAAAAAAATGTAATTATAATTATAAATCGTATAATTATTATTTGCTGGCGAAAATTGCTAAATTAAAAGTGTATAAAAATTGAAATAAAATATTTTTTTTGTATATTATTTGCTGGCGTTTTCTTTACTAAATGTAAATTATTGTTTTTCCTCGCTTTTATTTGTATCTTTCTTTTTTTTATATATTTTTTTTTTTGTTTCTCTTTAGATGTCTTAATCAATGATCACAACTCTTAGAATAAATATTACTTCGCATGTGGCATTCGTAAATACATATATAAACCGTCTGTATATTTATTAAAAATATATATATATATATAGATGTATATATATATGGTTGTATATAGATCTATCATATCTCAATTCGTTAGTTGCTGCACAAAAAAATATATATATGTATATTTTTTGTATATTTTATTGTATATAGTTTAAAATGTCTTTTCTCCTGTCTTTTAAAAAGTTCTTTTTTCCAGAATTCTTCAAAAAAATTGTTTTTTAATGAATTCGAATTATGATTTTTTGAGTTCGGATCGAGATTGTAAAGTCGGGAACTTCTTGGTTTTGATTCAATTCGAAAACTAAGATAAAACAAAAAATCAAAAAACAATTCCTTCTTTTTTTTTAAGAATTCTGGCAGCGGCTAGTATTTGTTATTGTTACTTGTATATTATTATTGTTAAATGGTTTTTCTTGTATATTGTATTGTTGTACGTGTCTTGTTGTTGTTGTTGTTGTTGTAGCATATGTTTTGCAATATTTTTTTGTTTCAATTACAAAACAATGAAACACAAAACGGTGTTATTTATTTTTCGTATAAACCATGGAATATTCGTTGATATGTGTTCATTAGCTCGGAAGGCCTCTTCATCGTCTCAAGTTGTTTTCGAAAATCCCCAACAGCTCTTCTATATCCATCGTCTTAACCAAATTAATTAATCGGCTGCGTGAAACTATAAAGAAATAGAAAATAAAATATATAATATTATTATAGGTTGGTTTTTTTTTTTTTGAAAGATACTTTAAAAAGATATCATGGGTGTTTGAAAAGATGAGTTATGTCTTGGAAAGTGACACTTGAAAAAAGACAACTAGATAAGATTATAAGAAATATGATAAAGAACCTGTATGCCTCATAAACAATGATTTTTTTTAAAGGTGTTTTAATTAAGGAAGTGTTCTATAAAAAGACTACATTTTCACCTCATAACTATTTTGCATTTATAACTAATGAAGTGAGAACCTATCTCGGAAATTAAAACAATAACCTTAAGAGGTGGCAAATAGTAGTTTTTTTTATAAAAATTTTAATTAAAAAAAACATTTAAAGAAAACAAATTTAAAAACAAAATACAATGTAGACTCATGACCTGGGAAAATAAACTCATTTCATTTCAACTTTTACACTCAATGCTCTTTTCTAATTGAAAGCAATTAATGCAATTAAAAGCCTGGGAAATAATTTAAAGTCTAACAAATTAAATGCGTGTATAGTACAAAAAAAATATATATATAAATTAAATAGAAAAAAAAAACATTGAATGGAGAGCAAACATTTTCGCGTGTTTCGTATCTAGGGGGATGGGTTTAATTTTTTTCGGAGGGGTTTCTGGGTGTGACAGAGCCGGTCCATTCATTCATTCATTGATACCTCAAATTGGCGGTCAGACAGGCAGAACACACACAAAATAATACTCAAACAAGAGGAACATTTGAGCCGCTTATTTGTTGATTATGATCATCATCAAAAGCTGTCGAGGTCGCTTAAATGGTGTGCCAGTGTGTCTGTGTAGTAAGTATGCCATTAATTGAAAACTACGGACTACTATTACACGGATCCGGGGCTGTTTTCTGGATCTTGTGATCTCTGATCTTGAGGTGAGCGCTCAAGTTGGATGAAAAAAAAAATACCAAATTGAAAATGAAAATGTGTGCTAATTGCAACACTTTGTCGCCAATCAACGGCAACAGCATCTGTTGTATGCCTGTTTATGTATCTCACAACGTACGTATCTGTATCTGTATCTGTATCTTGCACCTTATCAGGCTCTGGCTGGTATGCCTCAACGTCTTCGATTAGATAAGTGACTTGAAATCAACAGCAAAACTGTCACGTACTAGTTGCCCAACTTCTAATTGGCATTGCATGTCCAAGACCCAAGACCCAAAATCATACAACATTGAGCAACTCCAAGCTATTCCAACTCAACTCAAGACTAAACTCAACAAAAAAACTTAAGAATTACTGATTACGAGACCCACAAAACATAAAACACACACCAGACCAGACCAGAGGCCCAGACCCAGAGAGCTGTTTTCTTATCGTAAAGACAGACCCCAAAAACAAAATAGGAAAAACTCATCGTTTTATATAAAAAAAAGAGGTCAAAATTTATAGAAAAAAACTGTGTTGAACTTAATTGTTATATCATGTTGGGGATTAAAAATTAGGGGTTTATAAAGAGGGTATTATGTATATTTAAATACTTGTTTTTAAGCTTCTCTTGTGGTCTATTCTTTTCTTTAAAAAATACTAGATAGGGTAGTTTGGTGTTTTTTGAAAACCATGCTTTTTTGAATTAGAAAATTTTGGAAATCTTTTAGAAATAAAAAATTGAAAGGAACATAATACTTGGTTATAATATATACCTTCTGTTTTTATAGAATATGTCTTTTAATATATATAAAGTATACTTATAATATATTTTATATAAATTTTGAATTCCAGTATATATCTTCTATGCTATGCTCTCAATACTATTCTTAAGTCTTTAAATAAGTATGTACTTTGAAACCATATTCACAACACATTCTTTTAAAAATATTCAGTATTTTTAAGCGTATTGGACATATCTTTTTAAAATGGTCCATATATTGTCTCAAAATTCAGACTATATCTTTGCAAAGTTTCCATATTTCTTTTCTGTGTAAAATATTTTCAAAACTGTATCTTTTAAGTTCTCTATTAAAGTTTATACTTTTCAAAATTAAATAGATTAATTTTATTCAATTCCCTAACATTTTCTAAACCAATACCCAATTTTTTTTTAAGTGTATATAAAGACAGTTTGACTTTTTCGTCTGGGAGTTGAAGTCTTGGCGGGGAAACCGAGGCAATCTAAGAAAATCGGAGGCCCTGAAAGCAACTAATAAATAATGAGCTTGTTAGCTTGGGTGCCTGACCATTACAGGGTTCAAAGGTTAAGACCAGAGATACCCTATAACTAAGATAAGACCCAAAAAAAGATGGCTTGATTAAAAAAAAATATGATTTTAAAGAAGCAGTATTGTTTTTTAGTTTTATTAACCAACTGCTTGTATAACTAATATACCCTTTGCTAAAGACCCTTGGTATAGGGTATCATGTAGAGAAATGCCAAGCCATAAAAAGTCGAAAAGAATCTCTTGCCCTGCTGGCAACACAAAAAAGAATCTTCAACTGAAATGCTGGTCAAACTGGTTTCCCCCCACCCGCCACCCATACCCTCCCCGATTTCTCCCCTCCTCCTAAGTGGATGCGACAGTGTGACCAGGCCAGAAAGAGAGCAACAGAGAGTGACTGTTGCGCATGCGCAGCAGCTGTCTCGCTTAGTTTCTCGGTTGAGGCATTTTGTGAGGTTTCTTGCTGCTGCCAGCGTTACGCTCAAATGATCGCGTAAGACCAGAAGAATTCCACCTTCTCTCTTTCTCATTCTTCCGCCAGATTCTTAGCTCTTAGGCCCTCCACAATTTCTCTCAGTGTAAAGTGCTTCTTTGTTGTCTAAAAAAGAAACTCTCTTTTTTTTCAAATCGTTTGTAAGATCAAGAATGTATTCAGAAATGTTTCGAAAAGAATAATTAACTAATTTAAAAAAAAAAAAGGTTACACAAAAAAAGTGTGCTTTTATAATGGAATTGATAAATCTTAATTACTAAATTAAAACGATAGTTTAGAGCTAAGTCTTAAGTCTTAAGATATGTGTAAGTGTAAGTGTAAGTGTGTGTGTCTTGCAATCTGGAGATTGGAGGAGGTGGAGGTGGAGGTGATGTCTTAGGTTTGTAAGAAACTTACTGGCACTACGGCACACGGCCACGCCCCTACTCCATGAATGTTATTCTTCTTGTTGTTGTAGTTGTTGTTGTTGCTTAGTAGGCTTCTCATTAGGCATCGAATGGCCGCTTGTGGGCGCTCTGCTCATCGCCGCCCATTTCGCGTGATAGATCCGATATCACCTCCTTGTAGATAAGAGGATCAATGTTCTTGCCTAGCTGATAGAGCAGGAACCAGTCACCGATGTTGCACTTGTTGGCCACCAGTTCGACCTCTTCGCTTTCGGCCAGACGGGAACGGGCACGGAGCAGCAGGTGACGCAATTTGGGGCCAGCAACCACAGAGATTCGATAGATGAGCGAGATGCCGGACAGGATGCTCAGAATGATGAACCAGAACCACAGGAACACATAGATCTTCTCGTTGACAATGTTGAGGGGCAGCACACAGAGACCGTCGAATCGCTGGACGTTGCCGGAGGGACCGTATTTGTGGAAGGTACATTTGGTGACCTTCGGAAAGACCCGGGCCATCGGATCGATACGCTCATCCGGCTCCATTTCGGTGAATTTCAGCACATCACTGCCGTACGTACTGAACTCGCCGTCCAAAAAGAAGTCCACAAAATAGATCTGTCCAATGACGTTGACAAAGTTCAATGCCTCACAGACGAAGAACCGGAATGCATAGAAATTGTGACGATTCAGATTGCCAATAAAGTAGTCCACCAGGATCTTCTTGCGATCGTTCTTACAGTCCTCGTTCACAATGGGACTGTTGAGATCCATGACCAGCATCTTGAGGCGACCCCCCTCCCAGGACTTCCACAGATATCGCGGCACATAGAACAATATGGCCTGGAAGAAGAGTACGAAGCACACCCACTGGTAGTACTTGTGGTACTTCACCTCATCCTCGCCCTCAACATGCGATCCAACACCGGGCTGGACCACATCTCGTCCAGTGACACCGGTTAGACGTTCCGGCACCGTAAACGTTGAATAGATCCAACAATAGGTGTCCATCACTCCCAGCGGGATCTCATCCACAATACAATCGATTGGATCACCGATATACTGGCGGGAGGTGACCAGCAGGGAGAAGGCGATCAGGATGATCACGGTCGCCTTGTAGTGCATCCGGAATACATTGTTATCGATGCACACCTGATCGATCTTCAGTAGGCCCTTGACGGACCCAAAAACATCAAACATCTTGCTGTCTTTTCAATACCGTTATGTATCTTTATCAATTTTTTTTTTTAAATTTAATTTATTTTTTATTTTATAACTTTTATTTTTTTTTAATTCGGTTTTTTGAAGCCCCTTTTTTAGTAGACCATTACGGTTCAGTTTCTGTTTTATGAATGCACACGAAAAAAATAATGGGTAGTAACAGGCAAGCGGTGCTCCAGAACTAAAATATAACTGAGATCTTTCCGGAGAGCTTTCTGTCTCCGATCTCGTTAATGACTTCGGGCTATATAGTTCGTTAGCTTCTCGGCGGTATCGTATCGGTTCGGTTCGCGCTCTCAACGCGAAGTAGAAAAAAAAAAATTTGGTAACAACAACAACGACGACTGCGACGACTATGACTGGAGAGAGAGTTACGTGTGGGAGGGGCGGCGAGGGGTGTAAAACTGCCCAGGTAGCTGTTTAAACACCGTCGCAGCAGCGGACCTAAGCGCACTCTTCGGATAGAAAACTCAAACTGTGCGGAACTCAAGCCGTTCGGCTTTCGGCTGAGCTGTGGCCTGCCAACGTTGCGGCGTCCACTCTCTCTCACTCCATCAATCTCTCTCTCTCGCTGGGAGCTCGCGTGGTGGAGAACCAAAAATGACTCAACTCGCGCGCTCTCTCTCTTTCTCTCTCTCTCTGACTCGGACAGGTAACTCGGCCAAGGGGTGGATCTTGTTTTTGAGCCAGCTTTCTCTCGCTCTCAGTCGGTCTGGCAATCTCTCCCCTCTCTTGTAGCAGGATGGCCAGTGAAGCTGTGTTTAAGAAAAAGAAAAGGGTAGCAACAAAAAAGGAGAGAGCATGACTCAGAGATGCCAGGAAACTCTAAAATACAAAAACCAGGAACCCAAGAACCTTAATTATTTATATTTATTACTTAATAGCTGTAGGGTTTTTATTTAGGTTTACAACTGATGAAATAATACGGTTAAATGGTGTATTAATAGGGTTAAGTTTCAACGAACATCTGGCAGACGGGATTTTAACCCTAAAAAGGTTTTTGGTTAAATTTCTAGAACTTTGGTTTAAAAACAATTTTTTTAAATTTCAAACCTTAAAAACTTTGAAATAAATTTTCAAAAATTTGATTTAGACATTTTTTGAGTCTCGAAAATTCTTTTTCTCATACATCTGGCAACCATGCTCATTGCATTTAACCCCCCTGACGGCCCCCTGACCTCTACCACCCCTCCCCTCCCCCGCCACCCTTCACAGCATCCATATAGACTGCCATATTGAAACTCCACGCGTTTATTTTGGAGTCTCTGGAGTTTGCTTTGTTTTTGTACAGGAATATATATATGTACATATGTATGTATATGAGGCGACAAGTTCTTGGAAACCCGTTGTCAATTGAGTTGGATGCTGGAGTTTTTCCCCCTTCCCCCTTTTTGGAGCCAACTGCACCACCAAAGAACAACAAGTACAAATCATAAAAAAGAAGAGAACCACTGGGAGAGCCACGACACAAAGGAGACTTTAAAAAATGATGGAGCATACGGCTTTCACTGCATTTCTATACAAAAATAACAAAAAAAACAACACCCAGACATCCATAGATACACTTACAAACACATACACTCCATAGATACATTCAGAATTGTATAGTAAACCTGACAATTTCCAACAATTACCGGAGTACAAGAACTTACCTGAGTTTCAGGTAAAAGGACGGAGTGAAAAATAAACATTTAGGGGGACTTTTCAGGGTCCTAAGTGCACTGGGAAAAAAATTATTCAAATTTGGTTTACATGAAATTATCAAACAAAGTTTTAAAAATGATTCAAGGTTTTTATTAAATTTTATTATATAATTTATAGCCTTGATCCTTTAATAATAATCTAATCTATTTCTAATTCTAATCTATTTTAGACACACAAACTAATATATTTTATATAAAAACAAAAGCATTTTAATAAATTTAAATATAAATTATACAAATACATTTTTTCTTCTAGTGTAGAGAGTAAAGTGCCCTGAAATAGAAACAAAAACTCAATGACTGACTACCTGTTACACTCGTTTCTTGGTTTCTCTTTTTGTTCGCTCTCTTTTGACCCGATCTTCTCAGGTTGGACTTTCTTCCTCTTCTTCTTCCTCTTCTTCTTCATCATCTTCTTCTTTTGTCCAATTTACCTGTTCTCTGGTCCCTGGGTCCATAAATTCAAAGGCATACATAGTTCTTTGGGTTCCATTTTTCAAGACCCTCGGAAACTATCTCAATTGTAAATTAAACATTTCAATCCCCCAGGCACATGGGCTTATCTCCGGACTATACGACCATATAAGTGTCTATACCATATATACCATACATATGTACATATGTGTATATAACATAACACTTTATATTGCCATTCAAGTGCCTGTATTCGATTGTACAAAATAATTAAAACGATCTAGATGTCGTAATACTCTGATGGGTTTTAGTGGTTTCAGTAGCACCCGGCTGGGTGATTAGATTGATAAGGTAAAAATACATATAACTAAAATAATATAGTTGGAATAGAATGAACCTTGAAGGTCTTGAGTTAGTCTTGAGTGACATTCATGAGAAATAGATCAAGATAGGATTTGGATTTCACTTTAAAATAGTATCTAAAGTGCTGAAAGCTAACCATAAATCATAACAACTTTTAGGCTTCTGTAACAAAATTATCTTAATACCGATAGACCGAATTTAATTTATTATGTTAGCCAGGCCCACAAGTGATCACTGATCTTGGCTTAGTCTATGTGTTATATGGCCCCAAGTGAGATGTAAATTCTCGCGAAAAAAGGTGTTTTTTTTTCTAAAATCTCTCAATTAATAATGATTTGCAACTACCTGTCAACAACCTGGTTGGAAGGCAATAAAATTCAGTTATAAAATCATTAGGCCCAAATGTCTTAACCAACTACTGTCTGGCGGGGTGGCTATTAATAGAAAAAAAAAAACCACAAATAACCAGAGCGATACGGGATGTCTTAATAAAAATATATCAAATTTCGCACAGACTTGAGAAATTTCTTTAAAAAAATATTATATATTTAAAAATCAATCAGAGATATAATCTTCAAACAGCTGCTGCTTCTCGGTGTGTAAATATTTAGATAAAGTTATTTTCCAATCTGGTGGTGCTTCGATCCCCTTTGTATCTCTATCTCTACTTTTTTTTTTTGTTGTATCTGCGAGATTGTCAATCTCTCCACGACAGAGAGCTCGGTGCCCGGCGAAGCATGTGCCAAGTTAATTGTTTCAGCTTAGTCAGCGTCTTCACACGATATCGAACATCAACACATTTTTCAAAATTCCCCGAAAATTGTCTGCGTCACAAAATAAAAATCAAAAAAATCTCTAAAAGGCATATCCATCAGATACATCGGCTACGCATGCGCTTCTCTCAGTTTTTCGCTCAATTGGTTTCCTCTCTCCCTCTCTCTCGCTGTGGCTCTCTTGAGAGCTTTTCGGTGCTGAACTTATGCAACGGATCGAATATAATTTATCTATTTGCGCTCACTCAAGCCATCTATCTGTTTGTTTGCTTTGTATCCGACGGATACTTGGATAGATTTCTGTCCAGGCGGCGTCACTTCAAAGCATGGAATCAAGTTCACAGGGTCTAAACAGTATTATTTGATCAAGAATATAGCAAAATAAATAGAAAAAATATTATTTGTGTAATTTAAGAAAAATCTAAGCAATATTTAAAATATTTAAAATACACCTGTCTTTACAACAACTTATCACTGTCAATTAAAAAAATATTAAATTTACATATTTAGATACTTTTATTCATTTCCAATCGGATTAATTAGCAAGACCGCAACCGAGACTCAGACTTCTACAAATTAAGATTTTAATTGGCCAAGACTTGACCCAAAAATCACTTATATGTTATTTTTAAGGACAACAACTTTTTACCAATCGAACGCAGATTTAATGATAATTCCAGATGGATTTCAACTGGTTTTTTTATAGATACAATATCTTTTTTTTGTAATTCATAAATGGATAAACTTGTAAATGCCAAGGAACTAGTACTTATTTTGCAATGAAATTTCAAAATCAGAAACACTTTCACTTTTTCAGCAGAATTTGTTTGTTGCAACGAATGCAAAAAAATAATATATGGTATATCCCCACCCCATGTTGGAGTATCAATATCTGAATATATATATATATTTATTTATTTGTACATCTGTATATTAAGTTGCTTATGAGTGGTAATTGAATCTGTAGCCGAGGGTAAAATGTGTGCAGCGCCTTGCTTGAATGGCTCGAATTTCGATTTCATTGCGGTTTGATTTATTTAAATTTCAATGCAAGAGCCAAATGCTTATATAAGTATTTAAAAATATAATAAATACATATATCTTTATCGGTAATCCGGGCTATGTTAATGAAGCAATAAGTCAATGAATCAATGAACTCATAAAAAGTTGGAAGAAGACATAAAACTTAAATAAAATATTAGAAAGCTGAATTATTTTCTGAGGAAACCAAAGCTTATACCCTTACCCTTACCCTTATATATATTAAGTTCGACTATATACTAAGCTCTTAATAAAATAGGCTTCTAACCCTATAGTTTGTTAGGGTATATTTAACCGATCTAGGACATGTGAAGTTATATACTTCTTTAAAAGAAAATAATGCTGCATCCCAAATCTGGAGTTTATAGCTTCCGAAACATAGAAACTATATGGCTTTGAACCAACCTTTTATAGACTTCTAGGGTTATTCTGATAAACATTCTATTATTCTGTTATTTTTTTGGAGTTAAACTTCAATAGCTTGCACACTTTTAGCTTAAATAATCATACCCCCAGTTAAGGTATAAAAATATATACATTTCCAACGAAACCCTAGACGGTAAAATAATTCGAGCTCCATCGCAACCAGTCAACCGGCTAAAAATGTTGCAATTACTAATACACAACAAAATCGTGGCACTTTTGGGGCCCCGTTCTTATTTTGACTTTTTTTTTTCGCCACTTGGCCGCTTAAGTAATAAGCCCCAAATACGAGTGATACGAATATGAATACCAGGTAAAGTCATTTAGATAAGCGACAGATAAAGATAGTGATACTACGATACTACGGATCTTGGTCCAACATTTTACGTTCAGTGCCCCGAAAAAAAAACTATAAAGAAATACGGAATGGAGGTGAATTTTAAACGGAACCAGGGGATTGCACTGAAAGATAAGATTGTCTTCAGTCAAAGAAAAATATATAATACTTTCGACATAAGATACACTGAAAGAATGTAGATTTAATTTGAAACTAAAGGTATAACTAGATACTTTATTTATTAGAGAAAACCTTATAATGTTTTCTTTTGATTAGGGGTATGAAACTTTTATTTAATTATTATGATAAACATTTTCTCTCAGTGTAGGAGTAACATAGCGCCCATAACCCACCTCTTAAATCCATAGTGTATTCAATGTTTGTAAAACCTTGCGGCGCTATCAAGCCAAAGCAAACACTCCAGTAAATCCATCATAAGAACTGAAAACCTCAAAAGACTCGACACAGAGCCTAGAAAAAATATGTCTAGAGAGTGGATACCTAAGAACATATTTGTCTGGCACTGATCTGGGTCAATATACCCAGATATATATATATATAAGAGCATAGTCTGTGCCATCTATCAAATTGATTCGCAATTTAAATAAAAAAATAGAAATGAAACAATTGAGCAAAGCTTCAGATTAAAGCGGAAATACTTCCTCAAATACATGACTCAGAAGCTGGAATTTCTAAATGGGAAACGAGAAGAATGATAAACCAGAATGAATCAAATAAAGATTAAAGTAAAAATAGATCTCTAAAAACCAAAAACCTTTATTTAACTTTCACTAGCCATAACTGAAAAGTTCTTGAGGAATTTCTTGACTCATTTTATTTATTTGTACTGATTCATTGGGTCTTTGTTTTCTGTGAAAAGGCTTTTCGGATCTCTAATTTAGATTTCGTCTTTCGGGGGAGTCTTACTCATTTCCAATCATTGAAAACACCCATACACCTGGCAAGTTAAAATCTTTAGGCCTGCCATAGCCTCCAATCAAAATAAAAACGAATCGATAAGACAAACCCTGGGAAGTCGAGGGCCCTTTTGTATTCACGCTCTTCATATTTGTAATCAGAGAACTATATAGCTTCCAGTTGATTCTTTATTTTAACTCAATCGGCACGAGCCCAAGTCATGACGTTGCTCTATGAATTTATTTACAAATTGAAAAATGACCAGGAATATAACGAAACTACTTTTGGCTCCAGAGAGGGCCAACCAATGCACTGGAAAAAATATATACTATTATCCTCAAAACCTCACAACAGAGATAGAAATAGACTTTTACCTTGATAAACCTTTTTTCTAAAGAGTTTCTTAAAATGGTGACCCCGAATGGTGACCCCGAAGACGGTCTAAATCTTGTTGTAGCTTCCAAAAGGATATACATTTTTCTTGTCAGTGTAGTACTACTCATATTACCCATAGACTCCTCTTGGCAACTCTGCACTAAACTCAATTAACTGCTGAATCGGCGTTTCAGAGCGTTTAGGGTGCTATCTTATCGTATTTCAAGTCAGTTGTGCTGGCTCTTCGGGATCTGGCCGATTCTCCTGGCCAAAAAAAAACAAAAGTCAAGAAAGAGAAACCCGATAAGGGGGCCCAGAAAGCCGGAGAACGTAGAACTTAAAATCGGAGCGTGAAGAATCGGGGAAACGAGACCCGGAGAATCAGAATCACTGGTAGTTACGAGCCTTGCAGTTACGAGGAGTTAGCCACCGCATGCGGAGCGGACAAAACCTCAACCAAAATAAAACCGAAAACCCTAAGACCCACAAAAATACGTAATCGGGCCAAATCGAAGAACAAAAAAATCGTGCATAGGGTCGAACAGATAGCGAAGCGACAATGCTGAACACCTTTAGTTCGGTGAGGCAGTACCTCAAGTTCGATATCACCCGGGTGGTGATCGACAACTTTGTGTTCAAGCTGCACTACCGATGGACCTTCGTAATGCTCCTGGTGGCCACCCTGCTGATCACATCGCGTCAGTATATCGGTGAGCATATCCAGTGCATTTCGGATGGAGTTATAGCGCCGGTCATCAACACATTCTGCTTCTTTACGCCCACTTTCACGGTGGTGAGTTATCGATCGGGGTCACCACAAAGGATCATGGAGGGGTCACCACAACAATAAAACATAAATATTTACCTGCTGACACCTCTCATCCTCTTTAGGTTCGCGATCTGAATCACACAGTATTTAAACCGGGCAGTGAACCGCCTGGCATTGGACACTACGATGCCAGCAAGGATCAGATCAAGAGGCACGCCTACTACCAGTGGGTGCCCTTCGTCCTGTTCTTCCAGGCTCTCTGCTTCTACATTCCGCACTTTCTGTGGAAGAAGTGGGAGGGCGGCCGAGTTAAGGCCTTGGTATTCGGCCTCAAAATGGTCGGCCTGACCAGGTATTTGAAAAATGATAGCTTACGCATCGGTAAGCTCAATGTCCCGTCCATGGCCGAGGCGGAGGAGAGGATCAAGGACATCCGCAGGACAATGATCGATCGAATGCGTTTGAATCAGTCGTGGGGCGCTCACTTGGTCTTCACCGAGTTCCTGAATTTGGTCAACCTACTGCTACAGATCACATGGACGAATCGATTCCTGGGCGGACAGTTTCTGGATCTGGGACCCAAGGCCGTCAAGGGACGTTGGTCCGAGGAGCTCAGTGTCCTGGATATTGTCTTTCCCAAGGTAACCAAGTGCCGATTCCATAAATATGGTGCCGGTGGTTCGCTACAGGATCATGATACGCTCTGTGTAATGGCCTTGAATATAATGAACGAAAAGATATATACGATTCTGTGGTTCTGGTATGCCTTCTTGCTGACTGTCACCGTTCTGGGCCTTATCTGGCGACTACTCACCCTGTGTTTGTACAGAAAGTAAGTACATGAACTATGATTAAGTTTACCAAGAGGTATGATGAGTGTCCGTGTGTCCGTTTGTCCGCCAATTGAGTATCTTGACTTGTAACTGTCTTATCTTTTAAGATTTAAATTTGTTACTTTTTATAAAAGCTTAGTACTCTCTACTAGACCTATCTTATATTTAATTTTTATTATTATTTTCATTTTTCCTTACCAGCTTAACCTTCACCCGCTGGTCCCTCTACTGGGCCAAGCCGGGCCGTCTGGATGAAAAAGAACTGGCTGCTGTGATTGACAAGTGCAACTTCTCCAACTGGATGTTCCTGTTCTTCCTGCGCACCAACCTCTCCGAGTTCCTCTTCAAAAAGGTGATCTATCACCTGGCCAGCGAGTTTCCCAATCCGGAGAAAGACAACGACATCAACGCCTATCGAGACATCGGTGCTCCGACATCATCCTCATCGCAGAAGCCCCGCTATCCGGACATAAGTAGTCTCGATACTGTGGATGCACCGTTGTTGCATCAACGACACCCAGCCACTCCCACCACCGAACCTTCGGATATGGCCACGTTAGCGGTTTAACAAAAAAAAAAAAAACCCCTCTATAATTCATAATTTATGCACTCCAAGTAACTAGCTAGGAAATTAATTGCTTTTCGAGAATTCTGTCGTTAATGCCTGTGCTTTTTTTATGCATACTTCTTTTTTTTTTGTAGATGATCATTTAAATATATATTTATTTTTAAGAGACACTTGGCTTTGTTTCATTTTCAGTTAAAACCCAACAGGTTTTCAGACATTTCTGTGAAAAAAAACCCCAACAAGCTTAAAATGGCCGACAACTTTACGTTTTTTTAGTGTTTGGCTTGGGAAAAAAAAAAATAAAATAAATATATGTTATAGGTGTGTGTTTATAAAGCAACCCAACCAGACACCTTTCTGGGGGGGCGTAGGCGTGGCCCAGTGCGGTTTGGTGACCCACTTAAAACAATCCGCTGTGGTTTCGAAAGTGTTTTCCTAGCTTTTGGGATTGAAAGTTTACACTATCAGAAGCTGAGATATGTGTGGTTTCAAACTCAATTGTTTTGTTTTTTTACGCAAACCATAAAAATATCCTATAAGATATTACATGTTGATAACAGCAAAGTCGAGATACAAACAGCGATAACCTATTTATGAGGTGCAGGGGAAACATTGTTGGTTGAAAGTTTAGCAAACAAAACACCAAACAATGAGACTCATATGACACACTATAATGTCTATGCCTTTATCAGCTCTTAACCGATTATTAATCTGAATACTTGAAATAATCCGTGCATAGAATCTTCATCGATCTACTCAAAACCCCCACCTACATGTGGGTTTACCATATGGTCTCCAATCTATACCCATATCTTGGCCAATACTCATCCGATTCTTGCCCGGAATGGCTTAAATGATTTGTATTTCGATTCTCTATCATTCTGCATCAAAAAATAAGATCGAAATATTTTTTGAAATTTTTCTCCATTTTTGTGGGGAGACCCCTTGGAAAAGTAGGATTTTCGCATTTGACTCCAAGCTATACCCATATCTTGACCAATTCTCACCCGATTCTTGATCGGATTGTTTTAAATGATTTGTATTTCGATTCTCCATCATTCTGCATCAAAACATTGGATCGAAATATTTTTCAAAATTTTTTCCCATTTTTGTGGGGAGACCCCTTGGAAAAGTAGGATTTTCGCATGTGGCCCCAAGCTATACCCATATCTTGACCAATTCTCACCCGATTCTTGATCGGATTGTTTTAAATGATTTGTATTTCGATTCTCCATCATTCTGCATCAAAACATTGGATCGAAATATTTTTCAAAATTTTTCCCATTTTTGTGGGGAGACCCCTTGGAAAAGTAGGATTTTCGCATGTGGCCCCAAGCTATACCCATATCTTGACCAATTCTCACCCGATTCTTGATCGGATTGTTTTAAATGATTTGTATTTCGATTCTCCATCATTCTGCATCTAAACATTGGATCGAAATATTTTTCAAAATTTTTTCCCATTTTTGTGGGGAGACCCCTTGGAAAAGTATGATTTTCGCATGTGGCCCCAAGCTATACCCATATCTTGACCAATTCTCACCCGATTCTTGATCGGATTGTTTTAAATGATTTGTATTTCGATTCTCCATCATTCTGCATCAAAACATTGGATCGAAATATTTTTCAAAATTTTTTCCCATTTTTGTGGGGAGACCCCTTAGAAAAGTAGGATTTTCGCATGTGGCCCCAAGCTATACCCATATCTTGACCAATTCTCACCCGATTCTTGATTGGATTGTTTTAAATGATTTGTACTTCGATTCTCCACCATTCTGCATCAAAACATTGCATCGAAATATTTTTCAAAATTTTTTCCCATTTTTGTGGGGAGATCCCTTCGAAAAGTAGGATTTTCGCATTGGCCCCAAGCTATACCCATATCTTGACCAATTCTCACCCGATTCTTGATCGGATTGTTTTAAATGATTTGTATTTCGATTCTCCATCATTCTGCATCTAAACATTGGATCGAAATATTTTTCAAAATTTTTTCCCATTTTTGTGGGGAGACCCCTTGGAAAAGTATGATTTTCGCATGTGGCCCCAAGCTATACACATATCTTGGCCAATTCTCATCCGATTCTTGATCGGATTGTTTTAAATGATTTGTATTTCAATTCTCCACCATTCTGCATTAAAATATGAGATCGAAATATTTTTCAAAATTTGTTCCCATTTTTGTGAGGAGACCCCTTGGAAAAGTAGGATTTTCGCATGAGGCCCCAAGCTATACCCATATCTTGGCCAATTCTGATCCGATTCTTGATCGGATTGTTTTAAATGATTTGTATTTCGATTCTCCATCATTCTGCATCAAAACATTGGATCGAAATATTTTTCAAAATTTTTTCCCATTTTTGTGGGGAGACCCCTTAGAAAAGTAGGATTTTCGCATGTGGCCCCAAGCTATACCCATATCTTGACCAATTCTCACCCGATTCTTGATTGGATTGTTTTAAATGATTTGTACTTCGATTCTCCACCATTCTGCATCAAAACATTGCATCGAAATATTTTTCAAAATTTTTTCCCATTTTTGTGGGGAGATCCCTTCGAAAAGTAGGATTTTCGCATGTGGCCCCAAGCTATACACATATCTTGGCCAATTCACATCCGATTCTTGATCGGATTGTTTTAAATGATTTGTATTTCAATTCTCCACCATTCTGCATCAAAACATTGGATCGAAATATTTTTTCAAATTTTTTCCCCCTTTTTGTGGGGAGATCCCTTCGAAAAGTATGATTTTCGCATGTGGCCCCAAGCTATACCCATATCTTGACCAATTCTCACCCGATTCTTGATCGGATTGTTTTAAATGATTTGTATTTCGATTCTCCATCATTCTGCATCAAAACATTGGATCGAAATATTTTTCAAAATTTTTTCCCATTTTTGTGGGGAGATCCCTTCGAAAAGTAGGATTTTCGCATTGGCCCCAAGCTATACCCATATCTTGGCCAATTCTGATCCGATTCTTGATCGGATTGTTTTAAATGATTTGTATTTCAATTCTCCACCATTCTGCATTAAAATATGAGATCGAAATATTTTTCAAAATTTGTTCCCATTTTTGTGAGGAGACCCCTTGGAAAAGTAGGATTTTCGCATGAGGCCCCAAGCTATACCCATATCTTGGCCAATTCTGATCCGATTCTTGATCGGATTGTTTTAAATGATTTGTATTTCGATTCTTCACCATTCTGCATCAAAACATTGGATCGAAATATTTTTCAAAATTGTTTTCCATTTTTGTGGGGAGATCCCTTCGAAAAGTAGGATTTTCGCATGTGGCCCCAAGCTATACACATATCTTGGCCAATTCACATCCGATTCTTGATCGGATTGTTTTAAATGATTCGTATTTCGATTCTCCATCATTCTGCATCAAAACATTGGATCGAAATATTTTTTCAAATTTTTTCCCCCTTTTTGTGGGGAGATCCCTTCGAAAAGTATGATTTTCGCATGTGGCCCCAAGCTATACCCATATCTTGGCCAATTCTCATCCGATTATTAAACGGAATGGCTTAAATGGTTTGTGTATCGATTTTCTATAAAGTTCTTTAAAAATCGTAGAACAAAACTGTTAAACAAGATTTTTTTTTAATTTTTTAGTAACCGCTTAAGACAGAGAGATGTATATGCAAGGGGCTCGTCTAGTCCTCCTATCTTCTTGTTAAATAAATTGTTATACCACCTAAAAAAGTATTCAAAGAATTGACAAGTGAATAGAAATACTCAACATTCACGCATTCCAGCTCTGTCATAACCAATTCCGTATTTGGACCGATTTTCTTAGCTGTTATCCCCCGGATAGCGGATTGGGGGGCTTCTCCATAGATTTGTGGAAAAACTGCGACAGCTGTCTTTAGCAATCAATTAGTACGAGTGGCTTTTCGGCTCGACACATTTGGCACTAGCTTTTGGCAGTTGTGTTGGCCAATACTAGGTGTAATGGCAATACTAGTTATGACACCTGCCTTTGGCCAAAAGTGGTAATAACCATTCGAGTCTCGTGTCTCTAGTCTCTAGTCTCTCCCGTCCACACATCCATCTGTCGCTCTGACAAGATTCTCGCTTTGATAGTTTGCGGTCAATGCCAACCAGGTAAAGCCCCCCAACTAGCCACCTAAACCCAAAGCTATAGACACGGCTATAGCTATGGCTAAAATCTAAATCGAATTCAGTCAGAGCCAAAGAGACAAAAAAAATAAAATAAAATAAAAGTTCAACATTCAAAGCACTGGCAGTCCATTAAAATCAAATGGAGTTTGCGGAGATCAGGTTTGTGGCTTGTCACCACGACACGGAAAACAAAAATGCGTTAAGATTGCTAATTAAATTAACAGAGTTTTTAAAGGAATTTTAGGGAAGTGATTTTTTAAATCTAATAATAGCTTTACTTTTAAGGAATTCTTACAAGAAACTTGATAATTCTCAAAGACCAAAAGGCCATATACATATCTTTTATATTTTTATATTCCCTAATTTTTTCCAGTGCTTTAGACTTTTTTGTTGGGTTTCCAAGATCACCATTTTTGTTGTCAGAACTTTAACTCGATTTGGTTCTTGTTCCTTTTTCTTTAAAATCAGTTCGATTGGATCGCAGTCTGCATATCAAGTGATTTCTTTCAGTTTTTGTTGGATTTTTTTTTCAACTTTTTTTTTCACAGAGGTGGATATACAAAAGATATAATAAAAACAACAAAAAAAAGAGAAAGAAAAAGCCCCAACAAAGCCGAAAGCCAGCTCTTCGAATATATCAAATAATAAATAATGTGCTAAGCTCGCTCTGTCATTGCCCTTTCTTTTATTTTTAAGATTTATTTTCTTATCGAGGGAGGTTGTCTCTTTTGATAAAAATATTATGTATAAAAATATTAAAGAAATGAAATATGTTCTCGGTATTATAGAACTAATAATCATTCAAAACCCTTATACAAATAATTATTATAGGGTATCTTATAGTTCCTTTTAACAAAAACAAGTTAACCATTTTTTGGTTATTGTCTTTTTTTATTTTTTTTTTTGTGATTTTTTTTCTGGCTATTGTTTATATATTTCTTTAAGTTTTTTTTTGTTTAACCCCCGCACTGGTGAATGACCGTTAACATTTAAAAGATCCCATTTAGAAATCGAAATAAATTTGTAGATTTTTTTTCTACCTTTATTGTACCTGTTTTTTTGGAGAGAAATTTTCGATTTTAGATATGTATCCTCCCCTCGTATTTCTTTCTGATTGTCACACACATACCTTCCAATTATCGAAATTGATGCGACAATTAACACTTTTGAACTTTTGCAGCTGCCTGGGAATCAAAAAAAAGTACAAAAAAAGTTTAAATAAAAAAATGAGATGGAGGTGGATTTTAGAATGCCCTGTGCCTTGGCTGGGAATTTGTTGCCAATAAATTGCATGCAATTGGGACACTTGTTGCATACATTTTCCAATCTCTTGGCATGCAAATTTATTTCAATTGCATTTAATTTGTGCGGATTAGCAGCAGACACCGAAAAACTCGGGGATCCTGGAGGTAAACCACGGGGGCTAGGGCCAAACTGGCGGCTATACCAATTATACATTACATACTATATATATATATGTATATATATTTATGAGCCACCAGACACAAGACACAATTTATAACGATTTATTAGCAATTTAGAAAAGTTCAAGCGGGCATCTCATTTTCTTCATTTGAATTTGGGAACAGTTTTCCATATTTTCCTCTTTTTTTTGTTCAACTTCCTTTCATGGGATTTAGATTTGGAATAGTTAAGGGGTTTATAAGGTGGTTCAGTATAGATATTCCATGACTAAATAATCTAAATATTTATTAAGAATTTTTCTTCATAAATTCAGACCCTTTTTAATAAAATTCTATTCATATTTAAGGCTATTTTCCATAAATACAGGGCCCTATATACCAAAACCTATAAATGTCCTTAAAAACAAATCAAAAATCTCAAACAAAAAGTCAAAATAAAGGTCCTTCGGCAGGATAAGAGCACAAGCCACCCCCAAAAAAGATGGAATTTTCCCAAGTGAACGACCTTCGATGCGTCGTTTTTCCGGCAACAACGAAAGGAATTCGCCAAATCCTTTGTGTCCTTTGTGTCGTCATCTCTTTTTTTTCGGAATCCTAGAGCTTCCGCGAATGACGCAAAAATATTTAAAACGTAGGTCAGGTTCGAGTTCGATTTCGAGTCTTTTCCGAGTGGTTTTTTATGTTTTTGGTTTTGAGCGAAAAGTCCTTTGTTTGATATCAGGAAGCAGGAACAAAGGATAACACTCTCTCGCTCGCGAGTGGTGACTCTCTCAGGGATTTGCCCCGTGGGTGGGAGAGATCCACCCCCAAAAAAGGACTAAACATGACGCAGCAGCCTGGAAATGTGTGTGTTTTTTTCCGGGATATTCCATTCCGAATCTAAACACGTTTTTCAGTCTGAAAATTTTATGGGGTTGTCGAGAGAGATTTCTTTTTTTTTTTTTCTTCGGGGGTTGTTGGCCATATCTCTCTATATCTCTCTATAACTCTCTATATTTATTTATTCTTCCTCATTTTGTGGCACTCACCTCTCCTCTACCACTGGACTGCGACTTCTGGTTGCAGCATGTGGCACACGTTTCGAAAATCTCTGGAAATTTACGAGAATTTTCCAAATGCATTTCGTCTGCATTTTAATGGTTATTTATAGACTCGCTCTTGGCAATGACCTTGAACATCTGTTGGGAAAATTCTCCCAATCCTCCCTCTCAGAATCCAAAAATATATATATTATGATTTTGCTTTGCTTCGATGTTATATAAATTAAAAATCACATGAGTGAGATTATAATGATGATTTCATATTGATAAAAACAAAATCATAGTCTTGATATCATTTTGATGAATTAAGACCCTACCATCAGATACATTTTAAATGACTTTTAACAATATAACACCTCTCCATCAACCTTCGTTACTATCTGTATTATTAAAAATATTAAATAAGAGGGAAAAAAATGGAATATTTTTGTTGTCAGAGGAGAGAGACAGGGCAAAAAAGGTGACACTTGAAATGCTGATAAAGAATCGACATATTTGACGATTAAAAGTATTTACAAATATGATTCTAAATTCTGGAAAAAAAAAATCTACAGATCTGTCACCTAAAATCAAAGCATACAATTGTTACTTATGATACCCCATATATCATTATGATCTTTGAACTTATTCCCAAGAACCTCCCAATTTTCGGGGCGTGGCTGTCACAGAGATCGTTGCCCAGCACGAATTAGTGTCGCATGCCCCAATGATAGCGCCTCAAGGCGCTTTCAATTTAGACAATTACGCAACTGTCCATCTTGTCCGTCTGTCCGCCTTGTCCGCTTTGTCCGCAGTTAGAGGGAGTATAGACGGACAGGTTGCGCTCTCTTTGAGCTTAATCAATCAGCCGCAAATTGAGCTGAGCTGGCTTAAATGATCTCGTTCAATTGCCAAATGAAAAGAATGTCAAATCCAATTCGAATTCCCATTCCGATTTCGATTGATCGGAGGTCACTTGAGTTGTATCGGTCGGTTCTTAAAAGGTGACCGCGAATCGCCGCGGGGAATTGGAAATCGCTACGATTTTATAAAACTATGTCATGAAGATCAAATGGCGACGATTGGTACAAGGTGAGTTCTTCTATTTTAGGTAAGGTTTTTTAATAAAATTTCAAGATATGAAGAGGTTTATATGTTAAACATATATTTTTTTAATTTTTTATAACTTTAGAAAATCTTAAATATAATATTTAATAGACTTTTTCTTAATAGTTTGAAAAACCTTTTCAAAAACCTCAAACTCAAACGTCTTGGAAAAAAAGCTCAAATTGCGCAAGCGTGGCTTACAGAGCTCTTACTCTATCTCATCCTCTCTTTCAGTCTCCGCTTACAATCTCTATCTCTTGCTCTCTCTCGCTAATCGATCCCCAAACTCACCTGCTGTTTCATTTCCGCTCGTTCCTCGCTCAATCATTGTTTCGTTCCACTCCCAAATAAAAACATCGTTTGCAGGTTAGATTTATACGAGTTTTTTTTTTCTTTTGTTTTTTTTTTTTTTTTTCTTAAAATACTAACAGTGTGTATGTGTGTGTTACAACTTATAATTAACAAACTTAGATATTATGCAAAAAAAAAATATTTTGTGATGCGGCTTTTTTTTTTGTGTGTTTACAAAGCTTTGTCTGGGTGCTCTTCTACGCCTCCCCCCCACTCCATGACTCTCCCACTCGGCCTAGTGACGGGCAAAGAGCGAGAGAGTGAGAAGGCCGACAACAGCAGCCACACCCCATTTACCGTTGCCCCCCGAAACTAGAGAGGAGGCGGCATTGCAACCGTCCGTATCGCAAGTGTATATACAGCTGCGATAATCCATCCGATCGCCCTTATTCCGGACATAATCACAATAGTTGCCCAGATCCTTGGAGCTGCAGAAGCGCTTCGCACCGATACCGCCCTCGAAGCGACCCACATGCTTCACACAGAACTGCGCCCCATGGACGCTGGAACAGTTTTGGGGCTGGATGTCCGGTTCGTCGTAACGCTCGAACCATTCACCGCACTGGAACGGCTGATCCGTATCGCTGGTATCGCATACGTAGCACTCGATCCCCGATACCGTTACAATTGGCAGGCTTACCAACACTAATAGCCCCAAGACCTTAACCAACGGCCAGAGGATTGGGGCGATCGGGCGGTTTGTTAGGGCGGGCATTACGTCACGCAAATTACAAATCGGTAATATTTATGAGACGAATAAAAATATGATTAATAATTATCCAGTATTAGCGTCGCCAGCAGATGCCAAGTTTATACTGAAGCGACTCCATTTCCGTTCGTTTCACGTGCCCACCTTCAAAAAAAGAGAGAGAGGGAGCGAGTCTCCCCCTCCCGAAAAAAAAGCGCAGAGAGCGCAGCTCAAGAGAGCGGGAGAGCTGTAAGACTGGCTTGATTCCAGCCAGAGCCTATGTCTATTTTGTCTATTTTTCTAGGGACCCAAGGGTCAAGACCATAGATAAGCCACTGGAAAATGATAGCAAAAGTACTGAGGTTTTTTGAAAAATATATTCCAAAGGGTTTTAAGCCAGGGTTGTTGAACTAGTTCTAAGAGTAACTAGTTCTAAACAAAAAGTAACTCAAAAATACAATATCTAGCTTTATGAGATATATTTTGTATGTTTTATAAAGGAATATATCTAAAAAACTGATAATTTTGTATCTTAAAAGTTTAAAGTTTCTAAAAAAAACTAAAACCTTCAAAAACTTAGTCCTTAAAAACACATTAAGCCTTTTTAACTCTTATTTTAACAAATATTTTAAAGCCAATATTAAAATATCTCACTTTTAGACAAATCTGCCATCACTAGCATGGAGTTATTTGGCCAACTCTCTTGCCTGACTCTTGGGGTTAGTTGGCTTAAAGAGAACCGGTTACCTGGGCAACGGGCTCAGGGCTAATATCTAGGGCTAGAACGTCTAGAGAGCGAATCCTTTTCGCCGGCGCCCTGGTAATCGATGTTATCGATGCAATCGGTTATCGACGTTGACCTCAACTTTTTCTTGTTGTTGTTTAACCAGCAACAGGTAAGGCATTTTATTCGTGACGTGACTGAAAAGAAACAACAACAACAGAAACACTTGAAAAAAGAAAACAAACGAGCTCACAGATACAGATACAAAGATACAGATACAAAACCACAGAGCTCAGCTCTTTTCTGCTTTGTTCTTCTGCCAAGTTGATTTCTGGCGTTGGCATTTTTGGTATGCTTTCTTAGGTGGTTTTATAAAACCCTAATACCCTTTCAACTCCAAGGGGTATGCTAGTTTTAAGACGAAATATAAACAATAATATTTTATAGGAAAGTAAGGTTAGAAATTCAAAGAAAAAGGTCTAAAGCTCGTCTCCCTTTTAAGAAAAAATAATTTTTTTTTTTCAAAAATAGAGTATTTTGAAGCTTCGATCTCTTAGTTTGATTTAAAAATTTTCCTGTTCTTTTTAGAGGAACCAAACCAAACCAAAACGAGGGCATTCAACTTCTTTCTGTGCGTTTCTTCTGCTGCTTCTCTTCTACCACTCCAAGATTCTTCGCCAGAGAGAGAAAGAGAGTGGTGGAGACGAGGCTTTCGCATTGTCAACCACCGATCGGGCTATAGATACACCCAACACCACCCTCCGCCACCCAATCTTTTCAAAAGCCAAGCCCACAAGTTGGTAATTGAAAGCCAAGCGGGTTTTCTTCTTTTGGAGATTCTTCGCCACAACTTGGGATCCAAAAGTGGCCATGTTTGGAATGCAGAAGGGGAACCCATACCATACCATATCACAATCCGCACTTGTGCACTCTGTGTTTCCACCTAATTATATATATATAGTCGATTGAACATGATCTTTACTGGCCTTTAATTTTCAGAAATGAAATGTCTGTGTCTATGAGGGGGAGATCCTCAAGTGCCTAGAATGTTCTTCAAGATCGTTTTTCGCTGTACATATAATGGATAAGTCAAGTCCCCCAAGATAACACTAATTTATAGGATTTCATTAGGGAAAAAGACCCAACAAATGGTTATTACTTTGGAAAAACCTAATAAAAAACGATCATAAAATATATTAGGCATATATCTTGACTATAGCTATTGATCTTTATTTATTACAAAACAAAAAAACATCCCAATGACTAATCAAAATTTAACAACTTCTTTAGAAAGCTGTAATATCTCTTCTTTTTTTTACGATTTTGTCGGGCCTGTCCCTTTGTTAAGATTTCTACCGAAAGACATCTATATTTAGTAACTCTCGATGATTTTTCTCCTGTCTACGTGACGAATGGACATTATTTTCCAAAACACAAAACAGATGCCTAGTCTTCGTCCAAATATAGAACTTCAGGGATGTTTGGGGTCCCGAGATCGTCGATCTGCCTTTTGTTTTCCAGAACTTTCCACACGGATTCCTTTTCATCACTGATTTTGCAATTTTTCAATAAAATATTTATTTTTTATAAAAGGTTGCACTAAAAGATACATTTGTATCTTGTATCTTTTAAAGATCATTAAGACTTTCATCTCTTTGATGTCCTTGAGTTTTTTTTTTCTGTGTAATATCCAGCCAGACATAAAAGGAAGCTGCAACCCCCTCTGTTAGCCACCCTCTCGTCCCTGCAATCTTTCTCGTTTCCCTTTTCCCACTCTTTTCCGTTCTTTTAAGGAAACAAACCAAAAAGGAAGTTGCAAAACAGGAGCAGCTGCTGCCACCAGAGAGTCACAGACTGAGAGAGAAAGAGAGCAGCAGAGAGAGAGAGGACCTTGGCCTTGAGTGAAATTGCGAAACTCTCTCTCTCGCGAAGAGAGAGCCTTGAGTGAAAAGGGTACTGAGTGCTTTCTTTAGTTGCATCCATCCAGTTGTTGCAACATGCGGAGATAAATCCAAAAGGTTCGTGCGCCCGCTCACGTACTTACGTGCCACGATATTGATACCCTCCGATACCTGGCGGTATATATAACATATGTATAGGGGCGGGGACTGGAGGGGCGTGGTGCGTCGGTGTTTAATGGCCAGATTGTGACAGACGTGACACTTGGCCGAGTGAAAGGTCCGAGACACGGTTACCTCTTTGTCCGAATGTCTTTTTTTTGATTTCGAAAGTAATTTCTGGGGTGTGGGAACTTGGTTGCAATTAGGTAATACAATGGGTAATATTTTGATATTATTCCCAAAAATTAAAGTGATTTTTTTGTGTCCGCTTAAGAGAGGATCGTTTTTATTTTACCTCTCTCACTAAAAACTAGGCTGATAATAAATAAATATTGTATCTTTTTAGCAAAAAACCTTCAAGATATAATAATTTTTCGCATTTTTGGGTATATTTACCTTTTTCAAGAACCCTGTCCGCTTAAGAGAGGATCAGGCATATGTTTCTTTTTTTCTTTTCTTGATTTTGTACTAAAAATAAAACATAATACTAAGCATTATATGTATTTGAACCGAAAATAATCTTTAAAATGTCTAAAACTGCAATACTGTTCTCCTATTTTCGATTAAAGTAACATTTTTTTAAGACCCCCTGTCCGCTTAAGAGAGGATCAACTATTTTTGGCTTTTAAAGGACGGCTTATAGGAAAAAAAAGACAATCTAAAACTGTGTTTTTTATATATTTTATGCAATAAAATAACTTTTAAATGTATATATTTCCTAAATTTTAGCAATAGACCCCCTTTTTCCGACCCCCTGTCCGCTTAAGAGAGGATCCACTATTTCTGCCTTTTAAAAACCCAGCTTATATAACACCCCCCACAAAAATAATTACTGACATCCATCACAGGCCCATGTTTGGTCAAAACTTCAACTTCAATCAGGGCCTGAAACCGGGCTTGGAACTCCATTGACTTGCTTCTCGTGTCCGCGGGAATGACAACGCACTTAACATTTTTGGTTTTTTTTTTTAAGCCCGAAAGTGCCCATAAAAAGGCCAAGTCAAGTCAGGAGAAGCGGGCCCCAAAAACAAAAAGCCTCAAAAAAGCAGCCTTAATTTAAAATTAAAAGCAACACGAACTCACCGCATGATACAATAATAAAGATGGGGAGGGAACTTGGCCCGATTTCTTGGGGGCCAAAAAAAAAAGGGTTTCGCGGGCCGGGGGGCCTGAGAGGTGTAACCCATACCATTATCAAGCTGAAATGTGGTTGCAATCTGTCCCCCCCCAACAGGCACATAACTGTAATTTGAGAGCTGGCCATATTGGTGGAATGATTAAGTGACTCAATGGGTGAATGAAGGAATGAAAGAGTGAGGGGAGGCGATATCATTCGTAACCAATATCCCATAGGGATGTTATTTATGGAAAAAGCACGTTCTATGGGGAGAAGGATTCCCAAGAAATCGAGAACTTTACGGAAATCGATAAAAATATATATTGTTTGGAATTCAATGTCAAATCGAATTCTTAAGACTATCAGTTTCTTAAATCTTAAGAGGTTTTTTTTTTTTAAATTTAAGATTAAAAATAATGAAATAATAACCAAATTATAAAAACTCTCAAGTCTTTTTGTTGAATTGTGAAATATTGTTTAACTTAAACAGGTTTTAAATAATATTTCCATAAAAAATTATAACTTATGATCACTTTTTTGTTTTTTTTTTTTAACTTTCTCCTCCCTCCTTCCCCTCATTATTTGTCTTTCTTTATTCTAAAATCAGGTTTTTGTTTCGATTTATGGATGAACCCGCACTTTGGAGATCATTTCTCAAGACTAGACCGCTCCCCAAAAAGAATTCCTAGGTTTTCATAATTTTTTTTTGGAGATTTTCATGACTCTTCCCCCACCTCCCAACAATATAAAAAAAAGCAGCCAAGCAAGAAACAAAAAAAAAACTACAAAGCTGAGCTGAATACAAAAAAAGGGGGGGCCCTGTGAGTGGGTTTGAAGCTGAAGGCAGGGGGGGGAGGATGGTAGAATATCTTCGCAGCAATTGCTGCTCCAATTTTAGTTCATTGCGAGCGATCAGTTTAATTTAAGGCTTAATTCGTTTAAATAAACAAATAAAGCGGCTCAAGAGTGACAGAGACAGGACACTAGAGATGGAGCAAGAGCAAGAGCCAGAGAGAGAAAAAAGAGTGACCACGCTCAAGCCAGAGAATGGGGGGGGCCGACCGACACGTGTGCAGTTGGGCGAGCAAGAGTGGAAGAGAGAGAGAGAGTGAGTGAGAGCCAGAGAGCGGCTTGAGCTTGGCAGCAGCTGAGAGCGAAATGAGCGTGAACTGAGAGTGAGACTGTGAGTTTGAGTTGCGGTGGACGGGTTTCGGGTTTTTTGAGTTTGAGTCGGCCCAGCCAGGCCACCAGGCACACTGTGTGAAACGTGAAAATCAAGCGGCACAGTCGACGGCGACAAAAGCCATTGCGAGCGCGTCTACGCGGCGCTCGAAATATTACAAAAATATACAAAAAAAAAGCCAAAACCATTCAAATACAACAAAAAAATCATAAAATAGAAGGCAAACAATCTATAAAAACCGAGAGACAATACGAAACGAGATTCGAGAAAAACTAATTTTCCAAAACAGAGAAAATTCAAATACAAAAAACATTTTATCCAAAACACACATTTTTTTTCTCATATTTTGGTGTGTGAGTGCCCCCTGTGAGTGTAAAAATTGGCGCTTCTTCTTCTTATTAATATTGTGCGCGTTTTTTTTTGCAATTTTTTTTTGAATTTTTAATTCTTTCAATTAAAAAATAATACAAAAAAAAAGAAGAGCAAACAACTGCTTGGCAGCTGATTTAAAATTTTAACAATAATAATAATAATAATAGGAAGCACAAACAAACACCCACACATACAAACACACCTGGACACACGTTGCAAGTTCAGCTGCTGTGACAAAAAAATACAAAAAATAAAGAAAAACAAAAGCAAACAAAAAGAAGATCCCCAAAAAAAGGAGCCAAGACAACGGAATTTTGCGTAAGTCTTACTATTAAAAATAAAAAATACAAAAAAAAAAAGAAACTATATTAAGAACATGTAGTATTACAAAAGAATGCATTCATTCTTCATCTTTCCATTGAAAGCTGTTGAAAGAAAAGCTTTTATAAACCGAGCTTTGCAATTGATACAGCTCAATGGATGAAAAGAGATAGCTATAGCCGGATCAGATAAGTTGTATAATCGCTTAATCTTCAATGATTAGAGCGAGAGTATGCAGTCTTTGAGTAATACTTTCAAGAAGTCATTTGAAGAGTGGGTATTATTCATCTGCCACATCTGTTCTTTTGAGAATCCATTAAATCTTAATGATCTTCTGAATCTTAATGGTGCTTCTTGTTCTTTCAAAAGAAGCTCCCTCCCGCCCCCTTGTTTTTCTCACCTTTCTTCTCAGGGGTCTCTCTTTCATACCAAAAAAATCTCACTCTCAGCGGTGAGTTAAGCTTAATGCACATTTTCTTTATTCTTGGGGACCCTTCTTTATTTTCTTAAAATCTTCATGGCTTGGATTACCTTAGAAGTCGTCGGCTTCGGCGACATCCGAAAGATGATCTTCCCGCCCCCTTTCTGGTCTCTGTCCCCCCTTTTTCCTGCTCCAACGGAAATGGTCAATTTAGATGGCTCCGAGAACAGTGGCGACTCATTGTTTTGGTTTTGTTCCCAAGCATGTGTCTCCAATCAGAGAAGCAATTGCCCCCCAAAGGGAGACGAAGCATCCAGCTACCTTCTTTTGCGGAGAATGGGTTTACCCCCTCCCCCGAGCCTGACCACCTTCTTTGGGCTTTCTCCCACTCTATGGTTTATATCCCTATTATGTGCACGCTAGTTTGCGGTTTTTATTCGATTCTAACTAAGAGATCCTCCCCGAGTTGCATGCAAAGTTTATGCTGCCGACCAGCTGCCGCTTGGATAGATCCCTAGAGGTGGCAGCGTGAGGCGATAGTTTAAGAGAACTTAAACTTAATTAAAACTTTAAAGATTAAATATTTTAAATGCTTATCTTTAAATAATTCAACATTAGTTTTTTTTTAATATAAAAATACTTTTCTTTTATTTTTTTATTTAAAAACTATTAAATCTTTATTTTAAATCTCATACCTGCTTCTAACCATTTTGATAATGTTGTCTAATTAACAAAATTACCTTCCTGCTGATCTATTTTTCATTTCCTGTGTGCGTGAGTCACAGAACCGCCTGCAATGTCATCTCTAGCACGTAACACACACACACTCACACACACTTATGTCCAGCCAAAGGGCAACTTCCGCTTTTTGGTGGCCAGCTGCTAACCAAACAAAAGGTAGACCTAAAACATGACCCAAAGTCGTATACCCGAAACCCTAATGGAAACCAACTTGTTTTTCCTTTCTTTGTTTTGTTGCATTTTTTGTTATTGTACAGTCGAACCCCCCCTTTAATGACGTCACAACTTCAAGAGACTCGGGCTCAGACTCCGAGAATTGTTGGCAGGGGGTGGTGGGGGGAAAAAAACTCAAATTCCAATTGCAATTGCAATTTTTTTTTCTGTTCTCGTGTGCAACTGCTGTTTGTATTCATGTTAAGGTTAAGCATGCCATTGCTTTTAAAAAAGACTCTCAAACAACAAAGTGTGTAAATACAAAAAAATCTAACATACAGAGAAAAAAAATATAGAGATTTAGAAATATTTAAAATTAAGAAAAAGGAAACAAGAGCGTGATAAATTAATTTTATAGAAATTCTAATCTCTAAAAAAATATAGAGATTTAGAAATATTTAAAATTAAGAAAAAGGAAACAAGAGCGTGATAAATTAATTTTATATAAATTTTAAAGCATGACCAAATATATTAGATGTGGTACATGGAAAACATTATAGATACCTAGTACTTCTAGTATCCTTTAGTTTCTTAGGTTTTTCTTTTAGAATTTTTATATTTTATACAAAAAAAAATGTTTTAATATAGTCTAAATAATATTTAACAAATATTTATTAATAGAAAAACTATAATATCTTAAAGCTTAATGCCAAATCTGTAATTTATAGTCTTTTTTAGAAAAAATGATACTTTTTCCCCCCTAGTTACTCTCTTAAAAACGTACCATGCCCATTTAAAACCCCCATCCCTAATCAGATAATCCCCTAATTTATGTAACCCACTCCCCCTAGTATTTCCCCCAAAAAAAGTGTTTTTTAAGCGTCGGCACGTCCGTAACATTAATGCAGTGTTGCAACAACCTTTTCGCTGAACAATTGGCAAACCTGACACCTCCCCCTTTTTGGGGACACCCCTTTCGTGTCAGTCCCCTCTTCCCCAAAATCACAAAAAAATGCCAATTGTAAAGCTTAATTGTAAATTCTGAAAAATTCGCAAGCAACACTTTCCTGCTCCCATGGCCTTGGCAATGAAACTGCATTGGAAAAAATTCAAGAAAATCAACAAGTGCAACACCAGCTGCATGTGTGGCAATGGCAGGAGGGCCAAGGGGGGAGGGGACTGGGGGATGGCTGGCTGGTGGTTGCAAGGCGGGTGAGGGGGAGGAGAAGGATGTGGGCGGCTAGCCATTGTTTATGGCTGCAACTTAAAAGCTGGCAAAGTCAGTGGATTCAACGAAGCGTGCCACGAATGGGGCAACAACAAAGGCTATGGAGAAGGGGGGGCAGGTGGGCTAAGGGGAGGGGCACTGGCCAGGAAGAAGACAATTTATATGCAAAAGTTAAGGGGGGGGAAGAGGTTGTCAGGTTTTTTGTTTTGTAAATAAATTAAATGCATTTATGCAAGGTGTTCTTTTTTTTTAATTTCCTAACTTTTGTTTTAAAAATATAAAATATAAATGAATAAAATATTTTATTAAAAATATATATACCTTGATTTTTAACTATTCTATTAATTGAATCATTATCTTTTGAAAATTAAATCTTAATATAATACCCTATTAATTAGAAATAAAAATTAGAATCACCTTTTAAAATAAAACTAAACCTACAAATATTCTTAAACTTATAAAACATACCACTAGAACTTCTCCAGACAAATCTATATAATTTTTAAGACTAAAAAAATTACCACAAATTCCATTTCTTCTTAAAAATAAACCTTACCTAGCAATTCTCTTAGAATCTCAAGAGGTAACCCTAGCCCACCACTGAAACTAAAAATTCCAAGCTGATCAATCAATCAATTTCAAAATAAATAAATAAAGGTATATATATGTATATATATTTCTATATATAGAAGACAATAAACTGGAATTTGATTTATTCGAAAGAAGCCGACTAAAGAAATTCCAGAATACACGATTTCACATAATTGAGGCAGGGTCTCTGATGGCGTTTGGGTCAACTGCGTTGCACAAAGATCGCCCCGAGGTGCAATGCCCCCATGAGGCATATATATATCACGTATGTATGTACGTACTATACACTCCCAGAGTACTGAAACGAGGGAGACATAGGTATATAGAAGCCCCCAAGTGGAGCAAATGCCAATTGGTCACTTAAATGGCGCATCAATTCCCTCCACGAAAAGAAGACCAGAGCGAAATGTGTTTTTAATTGAAATTGAAACCGTCTCAAGATTCTATTAGTTTATGTAAATTTATATCAAGCTTGGAACCAACCATAAAAAAATAAATATACAAATTTAGAAATAAAAACAATCTTTATTTCGGCAAACTTCAAATGATTGGGTTTGGTTACGTTTTCCAATCAGTGGAAATGTACTTCAAAGATACAGATACTAAGATAGTGTATATTGTTTGCCCAACTACACACAGAGAAATACAAGTTAGTGATAAGAAATGAGGGTCAAGTGAGTTTTATTTTTAAATCAATTACTAGAAAATATATTTAAAAAAATGTAATTAATTTTCTATATATTTTTAATATATTTCCAGTTGATATGCACCGCAAGTTAAAGGCTATCGAAGACCCTAAAAACTCCAGAGCCGGCAAGAGCAAGTTTAAAACTCGTATTGCATCTAAAAATCATTAGAAATATTTGATTTTGATTTTCTTTGGTTTTGGGTTACACTGCCAAAAAAAAAGGAATATATATAGATTCCTGATTCCCGCCAAGATATCCAAACTGTGCCAAGATGTATAAGTTATTGGGTAGCCTGAAGAGCTACCTAAAGTGGCAGGACATCCAGACGGATAATGCCGTCTTTCGTCTCCACAACTCCTTCACCACGGTGCTCCTGCTCACCTGCAGTCTGATCATCACCGCCACTCAGTACGTGGGCCAGCCCATCAGTTGCATTGTCAACGGTGTGCCACCGCATGTGGTGAACACCTTCTGCTGGATCCACAGCACATTCACTATGCCAGATGCTTTCCGTAGACAGGTAAGTTACTAAATAACTAAATAAATACCTTAAATATATGATATTCTGAAGAAAACTTTGATAATCACCAAATTATGAAAAAGTGTGACCATCTTTCAATAGAATACTCATCATTTAAGTTCTTGGTCACACTAAATAAAGGTTATTTAGAGGTTTTTTTCAGTAAAATGCTTAAATATTTCTACAAAAAAAACCTAAAAAAAATAGAAAAAAAAGGTTTCTCTTAAAAGTTAGGTTTAAAAAAATTTATAAATCCCTGGAAACCCCATTTTGTATTCCCCAAGAAACATATCTCAACTATTTCCGCTCAATAGTTGAAGCTTCCTTTTCCCCTTCTCTTGAAAACAATTTAATTGGCAGATCTCTTGAAAGACCCTTTTTTTGTTGTTTTTTTTGCCAAAACCCTTCCCAGACCCATCCAAAGATTTATTTATTTTTTTGTCTGGCTGGGTCTTTTTTTGTCTTGCTGTCAAGCTGAGCTTTCAGATTTCTGTACGCGGGACACGTCCGACCCTCCGAAGGTATGATATGTGTAATACATACACATATAGTAATTTATTCCAGCCTATAAAGCAATTATAAACTGGGCGTAGTCGGTTTTTTTTCCCCCTTAACTTATGACACACTGAGATTTCTTTAAAAAAAAATATATAAGAATATATAAAAATAATATATCCTACAAAAGGTATTTATTTTGAGAAGCTCGAGATGACATAAATCATTAATAATAAATAAATAATGTATTTTTATAAATTTTATTTATATACCTTTTTTTGAAATTTTTCTCAGTGTTTAAAAGACTTCTGAAGTCTCATATTTCATGAAACGGCAGGAAACAAGGCCTCCAACATATCCTTTGGCACTCCAATGCGTAGTTGTCCGATTTCGTGGAAATATTTTTGGTTTATTTTTAGTTTTCTTACATTTTTTTGTCTTATTTTTTTGGTAGTTAGTTTGTTGAAGCGATCAAATTACTTGCCAAGAGAGAGTAACTAAGTTTAAGGAACAAAACAATTTATGAGATTTAATGGAAGTTATACGAAAAGGAGCCTTTAATAATTTAAAAAAATACATAACCTTTATATTATAATTTAATATTTAATTTACAACGTTTAGATTTATAAAAGAACTTAAAATAACTAATTTTTATATTAATTTTCTTTAAAGGTTGGCCGTGAAGTAGCCCATCCCGGTGTGGCCAATGATTTTGGTGACGAAGATGCCAAGAAGTACTACACCTACTACCAATGGGTGTGCTTTGTGCTCTTTTTCCAGGTGAGCTTAATATTAAAATAAATAAATGGATAAGTTTTTATAACTATATTATATACAAATTATTAGTTTTTTGCCGGGAAAAATGTGCATAACTCCACTAATACTCGTCGGATTTAGAAATGTTATACTTTTCCGATGTTAGAACTCGGAGTAGAATCATTTTTAATCAAAATCTAGCGATACAATTTTTGACTCATTTTTCGAAAATTTTTAAAGGGGTACCCTCATGATTTTTACCAAAAATTTGACCAAATTTTTTTTCATCTCATATTTGCAATATTTCGATTAAGATCGAAGGGTATTGGAAAGTTGATTCATAAATGGTATTCCTTTTTCAAATCGGTTGCGAAATAGTTGAAAAATCCAATAAAAATTACGTTAAAAATTCAAATATCTATATTTCTAAAATGCTATAATTTTTTATAAAAATACAATCTTTTTTCTGTGTATTATTAAGTCGTGGTCTCGATTCCCGACAAAAGACAGAGCTTCAATTGAGCTTAATTAAATGCGTGGCATATGCGTAGTGAAAAATAGGGGGAATTTTGGCATACACTATAAAAAATATTATTGTTTTTTCTATAAAGAATTTAAAAATCGAAAATGCTTCAATAAAAATAATCAAGAAAATCTAAAGTAAAGAAACTTATCGCTTAATCCTAACTTACAAGTATGTAGTAATGTAATTATTTTCTGTGTAACTTGATCTGGAAATCGTGAATTGGGAAACGGGATGGGGAACGATATTGATCTATGGGTCAACGTATTGCCCAACCTCAAGTGACGGAAGCTGGCGGCAAAAATGTCTCCGAACTTGTGAAATACCAAATATAATTAATGACTTGCTAAATAGTTTCAACAACAATACCAACAACAGTAAGAGCTTTAATAACAACAGTGGCAATTACAACAGCAACAATTGTGGCAACACCAGCAACTTCAACAACAATGTGTCAATTGCTTCGACAGTTTTCAATAAAGATGTTTGTTGAAAAACACTCAACATTCCTCCGCTAATGCGAGAGATGTCTTGAAGGCACTTGGGTGTTAAAAAATAAAATAAGAATAGAAAGGAATAAAAACTATAGTTTTTAAGATTTTAAAACGTGCTTGAATCTAAGATATTTTATTTAGAAAGCTTTGGTAATAAACTATCGATATTTTTTCGATAAGTTAGATAGCTTTTTCTTTCTAGAATACTTTTAAAATATATATAATTTATTACAATACCTCCTTAATTTTTCTTCTAGGCCATGGCCTGTTATACGCCCAAGTTCCTGTGGAACAAATTCGAGGGCGGCCTAATGCGTATGATCGTTATGGGTCTGAACATAACGATTTGCACTCGCGAGGAGAAGGAAGCCAAACGCGACGCCCTTCTGGACTATCTGATCAAGCACGTCAAGGTAAGAATCTCTAGAAACAGCATCTAAATAAATATAATTATAATATCTCTTATTATTTTAGCGTCACAAGATGTACGCCATTCGTTACTGGGCCTGTGAGGTCCTGTGCTTTGTTAACATCGTCGTACAAATGTATCTGATGAATCGCTTCTTCGACGGCGAATTCCTTTCGTACGGAACCAATATTATGAAGCTATCGGATGTGCCTCAGGAGCAGCGCATTGATCCAATGGTGTATGTGTTCCCGAGAGTCACCAAGTGCACCTTCCACAAGTATGGTGCCTCCGGATCGCTGCAGAAGCACGACTCTCTATGCATCCTGCCCCTGAACATTGTCAACGAGAAGACGTACGTGTTCATTTGGTTCTGGTTCTGGATCCTGCTGGTTCTGCTCATCGGGCTGATGATCTTCCGGTAAGGTTAATGATGGCGACCGTGACTATGTTTATGGCGACCGTGACATTACTTTTATAATTTTATAGGAAATCATTTTGTTTTTTGTTCGTTAACTTATTGGAATATAATATATTTTTAAATATATTTCCAGTGCCTGCATCATCTTTATTCCCAAGTTCCGCCCCCGTCTGCTGAATGCCCGCAACCGTATGATTCCGATGGAGATCTGTCGGCCATTATCCCGGCGTCTGGACATCGGGGACTGGTGGCTGATCTATATGCTGGGCCGCAACCTGGACCCAGTCATCTACAAGGATGTGATGAGCGAGTTTGCCAAGCAGGTGGAGCCCTCCAAGCACGATCGTGCCAAGTAAACCTGACCTATAGGCCTTGAGACCGAAGGGAATGCGAAAGTTAGAGAGAGAGAGAGATCCTACCTTTATTTTTTTGACATTTAAACCTCCTTTTAAAACTCCCTTGGACACCTCAACTCAAAAAAAAAGGATTTTTTTTTAGACCCAAATCCAAATTCAGTTTTTGGACTTTATTATTTTTTATTTTTTTTATTTAGCACAAATCATACTAATTAGTTGAAACTCCAAACCAGGACAGATGATAGTTCTGTGATTAAACTGACCACGAACCCTTCCCCCCCGCATCCTTCAAAAACAAAAAATAAAAAATGAAACTCTTTAATGAATTAATCAATGATCACAACTCGAATCGCTTGGCAGAAAAGACAAAAAAAATCTGAAAACGGCAGAGACACATCACTTTTCTTTTATTTTCGAATTGTAACTCAAAAAAATGATGAGATTTTCCTTGAAAATGCGTTTTTTTTTCTGCAAAAAAAAAGAAAATTTTTTTTCCTAATTTTAAAATATAATTTAATGCGTAGCTTTTATTTATAAATAGACAACATCCCTAAAACAGAGAAGAAAAAATATGAAAAGAAGCAGAGAACCCCAAAAAAACAATGATATTTTTGCATGAAATTGAGAAAGAAATGTTTAAACGCTTCGGATATCACCGATAATAATAATAATAAGAATAATAATAACAAAATAATAAATATTGCTTTTGAGTCTTTCATAATAATAAGTCTGTAGCGTTTCAGCGGCGAAATAAATAATTATTTTTGGGGATATAATATTGTGAAGAGAATAAAATGCGCTATGTTAAGTTTATTGTGTAGTTTTAGGCGAAAATTGCAAAATACGGTTTTATATATGTATCCATAAAATATACATATTTCAAACTAAAACTTATAAAAATAAAAATCTTTTTAAAACTGGCGAAATTAATGGGTTTTTCTATATTTTCTTTTAAGTTTAAAGTTTGAATTTTTAAATCTGTGGATTGTTTGTTGTGGCGCCATCTGTAAAAGTGGCGCCATTTGAAAAAACCAATATACCAAAAGTGTGGCAACACTGTCACTTCCGCTCAAGCAGTATTTTTTTAGTGATGACACTTGAACAGTAATGGCGTTATTGGTATTTTGGCGGCGGTGCGCGACTATCACACCAAATCGACGCCAGACTTTACTCGCGGCAATAAATAATCAAAAAAAATAAAATAAATTAATATAAAAACAGAAAAACATTTGCAACTCTTTGTTGCAACATTAAACGACAAGAAACCAGTGATAAATTTTCCACAGCACACGCAAATAAAACAACAACAAAATGTGATGTTAAGTGTGAGTGTGCAAAGCGGAGAACGAAAATCCATTAAAAAAAAAAAACGGCAGATGTATGTGTGTGTGCGTGTGTGTGATTGTGGTGTGAGTGCGAAGAACGCAGCAAGAGATAAAGGATAAAAGAGCAAAGCAAAGCAAAAGGCAAAAAAGTGCGGCACCGCACCACTAGAAAATAAACAAAATTGCGAAAATTCTACGCAAATTTGAGTAAATTCGAATTCAAAATCTGAATTGGATATTAGGGTTGTTGATAATATATCGAAATATCAATATATCGATATTTTTTGGGAAAAATAATATATTTATATCGTAATATTTTTTTCCCCCAAATATCGAGTGTGCGATAGTTTTTTTTGATATTATCTGATATTTCTGCGTTGGTCACTCTTTGATCAAATTGAAAAAAGTGAAGATCGGCGGTGTGAGAAAAATGGACATAAAGCTAATAAAAAAGAATTATAGTGAAATAAAAAACGGAACAGCAAAGTGTAATTTGTGCAATAAAATGGTAAAAACAAGTGGAAACACCACAAATTTGACGTCACATGTTAAAAATAAACATAACGAATTTTTTTTAAAGTGTCAGCAAAAAAAGGTTTGTACATATTAATAAATTTATATATAAAATAGCGTTTTCTTTTCAGTGTTTTTGTGTGTGTGAAAAGAAATTCGCAGTATAATTGTGCACATATGTAAATGTATTTGTGTGGGCACCGCTAATATATATATTTATGTGTACAACATGACGCCGAAATTTGGCGCCATTTTACCGCGAAGGTGTAGATTTTATTTCGTGTGTGTGAAAAAAAATGTAGATTTCGCAGTAAAATGTCGCAAAATTTCACACACACGAAATAAAATCTACACTACACTGTAAAATAAAATTTACACTTGAATCAAATAAAATATTGGTGAAATCATCTTTTCTTGATCCAAGATTTAAAAAAATGTACATATCACCCATCGGGGTACAGGAGGCAACAAATGATTTGTTGAACGAAATTTCTACCTTTTCAAAGGAAACCCCGGTATGTCAAATTTTAGAGTTCGTAATCATGTATATAATTTAATAGTAATACTTACATTTACATTAATAATAATAATAACTCAACGTAATTAATTCATTAATAATTTATTTATTATTCCGAAGCAAAAATAAAGTATATATTAATTTCCTTTAAATTATTACAGATTTCTGATGACAATGCAGAGGAACAGTGTGTCGATTTTATGGAGGCCCACAATAGGTCAATTTTAAAGGGCCTTTCCTTGCAAAACTCTGATCACAGCGAGCTAAAATTATATCTCAGTTTGCCCCAAACATCATGGGAAAGTAATCCCCTAACATTTTGGAATGCACACAAGGTGGCTATGCCAGGATTATATCAACTCGCCCGGAAATACCTAATTACACCTGGGAGTTCAGTGCCTTCGGAGAGACTGGCTTCGGCTATAAAATGCGTCGTTTGTGATTCAAGGAGTCGAATGACTGATAATCACATAACGCAACGGGTATTTTTAAAGTCTATTAATGCCAAATATTGGCACTAACTTTATACAAGACCAAGACTGTATAATGGAATACAATCTCCTTATTTTTTTATTATATAAGAACTTTGAATTTAATTTAAGATAAATTTTATGTTATTTTTATGAATAGAACTCGAATCTCAGGCAAAGACTATAATGAAATAGAATATTATTTTTCTTTATGTTATATTTTTCTTTATGTTATATTTTTCTTTATGATTTTCAAATGTTATGTTTATGGATTTAAAAACTAAAGATGAGAAAAACTAAACAGCAATAATAATTTCTGTGTTTTATTTCTATTATTTTATATTCTAAAAAACTTTTTAGGAAACTAAAAAAAATATCAAAAACATCGATATATCGATTTTTTGTAGCGATATATATTTATATCATTTTGATATTTTTTTAAAACAGAAAATATTATCGATACGATAATTTTAAAAAATTCGACATCCCTATTGGATATGCAAATCGGAATGAATGCAAATGAATCTGAGGAGCCAGTTCCAGTTCACCAGCGTCCTACCGTCCTCCCCCGCCCCTGCAGTCTTCCTGAAAAAACACATCTCTCTCTCCTCTTCTTCCTCCATGTCCTCTTCTTCTTGCTCTTGTTGAAAAGGCTCCAAGCACCGGGAAGCGATTCTTGGAATATCATTCACTCTGTGAATGATGGGGTCCCATTTAATGTCCAAACATAACTACCAAAGGATATAAATAGATTTTTAAATTAATTTTATTTGTATGTTATGTTAGTAAACAAATTTAAAATTAAATTAAAAAAAAAATTTATGGAAATATCTTGTGGCGCAGTGTGGAAAGAATGTGGAATTTTTAGGCAAGCTCCCCACTTCTGGTAGCAAGGGGGCTCCAGTTTTTCCTCCAGTGTGCCTGTGTGGGTGAGAGATGAAACCTAAAAAAAAAAAGCAAAGGCAAGAAAGAGAGAGGCGAACAAGAGGAAGAGAGACCAGTTTCCAGCTGCCTTTGTGTGTGCGGATTTTTGGGCTTCCGCCGAATATCCGCGAACAACACTTTTTATTTTATTTTTTTTTTTTTATTTCTCTTCTGCTGCTGCGTCCCAACCCTTGTTTTGTTATCCCTTTTTTTGATATTAGAGTGTTTGTGTGTAAAATTTGGCTTGCCTGTATGTGTGTGTGTGTGTGAGTTCAACCCCCAAAAATTAAACATCTCCAACCCCCCTCCCACGAAATAACTGCCCGGGCAAATATCCACCCACTCACCCCCTGGCAACGACACTTCCCCCAATGAGAACGTTCTTCTTTTTCACCTTGGGATGATGCTGCTTCTTCTTCTTCTTGCGTCCGACGCTGGAGCAGAAGGAGTCGCACAAAAGGAGAGCGCGAGCGAGCGAGAGAGCTAGCAAGCAATTCAAAAACTGTCGAAATAAAACGGCTTCTTCACTTCTCCCCCACACCCCTCCAACTCCAACGCAACCCCCCTGGGGAGGCCCATCAACTAACTGCCTCCTGCTTTGACGTTCTCCGTCTCGTTCACTCTCTTGGCTGGTTTTCTTTTGTGCCTATTTCCGCTGCCGCTTGTTAGGTCAGCTCGGCGCCCCCCACTCCATATTCCTGCAGGCTCCAGGTTCTGACAGTCCCTTCAACACATAATAATAGTAATTGGTTGATTTCTTAAAGTCCAATTAAAATTTAAATTAATTTTTTGTTTTAAACAAAATTTGAAAATAAAAACAGTGATTTGGAAACAAAAAGTTTAAAACATTCCAGTCCCTTTAAAATAAATACTTCACCTGGTCACACTAAAAATTACTTGGAAAAAAGTTAAAACAATAATCACTATCACTATTAATTACTATTATCTTTTAAAGATTTCCTTTTAAATAAAAAAAACCCCCTTAAAAACATAAATAAAAGTAACTTTGATAATCAAAAACAAATCAACTTTCAAATATTGCGCCAAAGTCATGCATTTACCAACACTGTTTTGGCCGCATGCAACCCTGAAACACACACGCACACATACAAGCACAGACGCTTGGGGAGCATTTTTTTGTTATTATTCAACTGAGGAAAGAACAGCCCAAAAAAGCTTACCAACAATGTAAGCCAGAGCGATTGTATTGGTGTTGTTGCTGCTCTTTCATAAAGCGGATTCGGACGTCCCTGATTGTAAACCTGAAGGGAAAGCACTTTTACTCTCCCGCAACTATCATACCTCTCACCACCTCTTTATTTTTTTGGTTTTTTTTGTTGCTTTCTGGCTCGCTCTCGCAGGCGGCAAAAAAAGGCAGAAGAATAGGAAGAATCTGGAGAATCAGTGGCTGCCGAACTGAAAGCAGCGCAGCCGCCGCTAATTGTCGCAAAAAAAAAAAAAAAGACGAAAAACGAGCAAAACGCAAACGAATTTTCCCAAAAGGGAGCAAAAAACAAAAAAAAAGCCCAAAAGCAGGCGCAAAATTTTCACAAGTTTTCGGAAAGAATCAGGCTTTTAAAAAGTGGACGGCGAAATGAAACAAAAGAGAGCGAAAAAAGGAAAACTATTCTAAAAAAGAACCAAAAAGGTCAAAAGAGATATAGGGAGAACGAAGGAAAAGGAAACTGAACGAACACCTACCCACCGCCTCCTCACCGACCCCCCGGCCCCCGTTCCCCAAGAAAAAGAAAATAAACGAAAATCCGGAGAAAAAAAAAATGGAGCAAGTGTGGAAAGAGTGTATGGGGGGGAAAAGCTAAAATTAATTTTTTGTTTTTGTTTCCAACTCGCGCGCGTGTTAGTGCTAAGTGTGTGTGTGTGTGTGTGTGTGTGGAAAACGAAAAAATGGATTTCGTAAAACGCATTTACTAATTTTCTTAAAAATAATAATAAAAACAACAAAAACATTGTGTTTCCATTACAGTTAGAACCAATTGCACAAAATAGACGAATTAAGGTAGCTGGAGAAGAGGAAAAACGGCGAAACGGAGAAGGATGATGAACGGCGAAGAAGAAGCAGCAGCAACAGCAGCAGCAGCAGCATAAGAACAATCAATAATAATAATAACAAAAAAGGAGAGAAAAAATAATAAAAGAAGTAAGAAAAAGAGAAGCAGCAGCTGCAAGTGCGCGTGTGTGTGTGTTAGTGTGTGCTTGTGTGTGTGTGTGCAAAACAATAAATAAACAAAAAATAAAAAAGAAACTAGAAAATAAATTTAAAAAAAAAACTTAAAAAAAAACACCACACACACTAAACAAATATTTAAAAACTTTAACTAAAAATGTTGAAATCAGGAAGCACAGCAGCAGCAGAAACAATAACAAAAACAACAACAACAATAGCACACACCGCAGCAGCAGAGGTAGAAGCAGCAGTAGTAGCAGCAGCAGGAGCAGCGCACAGCAGCGACGTCGACGTCGCAGTCAGCGTCGCCGCATGGAAAATCGCCGCACAAAAAAATACCGCATGACAAGGAAATGGAAAATTTTGTTGCAGCAAAAAGCTAAAAAGAAAACAAAAACGCGAATGTGAACAAAAGAGAAGGCAAGAAAGTGCATAATAAGATAGAATACAAAAAAAAAATTTGTAATAATAATAATAATAATAAACAAAAGCAACAAAGCAAAATAACAAGAAGAGCAAGAAGAAGAAGAAGCAGAAAACACAAGAGAGCAAGAAAAAGAAGAAGCAGCAGGAAATTGAAACCGCAAAAAATAAAATAAAAAAAACGAAGAAGAAGCAAAAGTTGCATCTTTGGAAAGCTAAAAAGTAAGCAAAAAAAAAAATAATAAAAAATAAAATAAAATTCTCAAGAATTTGTTTTTAATTCAAAGATTTTATTCTAGAAATTATAACAAAAATAATGGCCAGCAGCGCTACAAACGCTGACGGCGGCAGCACAACGTCGGCAGCGCTGCCATCGCTCTTCCCCAGCGTCACTGGCGCCGGCAGCGTCAGGGATATGGACGGACTGATTGCCATCAATGATAGCGCCCTATCGCAACAGATCGAATTTATACTACAAGATGCTCCCATGGAGCAGGACGAGGATCCTCACCAGCATTCGCATTCGCATTCGCAGCACTCGCACTCCCACTCGCATCACCACTCGCATCATTCACAAACGCAGCCGCCACAGACGCAACAGACGACGCTGCATCATCATCAACCTCATGGTCATCATCAGCATCATCATCATCTGAAGCTGGAGAGTAGCGGCAGCGGTAGCAGCAATAGTAGCAACAGCAGCAGCAACCACCCACCGACAGCGGCAGCAGCAAGTGCCGTCGCTGCAGCAGCAGCAGCAGCCGCAACAGCAACAAATAATAGCGCTTCCTTTACCAGCTGCAACAACAACAACAATCATCTGGATAACCACCTGGATAGTCATCATCAGCAGCAACAGTTGCTCCTCCAACAGCAGCAGCAGCATCATCACCACCAGCAACAGCAGCAGCCCCAACAGCATCATCTGCTGAATGGCCGGCGAATCATCATCCAGGCGACCAGCAACAGTTCCATTTTGGCTGCCAGCGACATCAAGGAGGAGGAAGAGGAGGAGGAGGATCCGGAGCTGAATGATGAGAATCTGCAGGATATCGAGGAGGAGGCCCAGGCGGCGGAGGCGGACGAAGAGCCGGAAACTACGGTCGGCCGATCGGCGCAGGTGAAGCTGGAACTGGAGGAGGACGAGGAGATGCCCGACGAGGAGGAGGAGGACGACGAAGACGAGGATGGTGGCCAACAGCAGCAGCAGCAGCAGCAGCTGGAGTATCAGATCAGTACGGCCACCCAAACGGGTAGCAGTAGTGCCGGTGGCGGTACGACGACCCAGCAGCTGGTGCAACTGCCGGCGGGCAGTATTGTTAGCACCACCACTCACCGACTGGCTGTGCCCGTGACCGAGGCGGCGCTCGTTCAGCTTCAGCGCCGGCCGGTCTATATCAGTAATGCTGTGGGCGGTCTAACGGCCGGAACAACGTACGTTCGTATGCCGGCGGTGATAAGCCGGAGTCCGATGACGGTACTGAATGTTGTCCAGCAGGCGTTGCCGGCCACACAGCTGATACTTCAGACCCAGGCGGCGCCAGTACAGCAACAACAGCAACAACAAGCTCAGCAGCAGCAGCAGGTGCAACAACAACAACAACCAGCTGAGCAACAACAACAGCAAATAGCTTTAGCTTTAGCCCAACAACAACAACAACAGCAGCAGCAGCAACAACAACAACAACACACCCAACCAGTGAAATCTTCATCATCCAGCTCTTCCTCAGGCAACAACAACAATCCTAGTACCAACACCACCGCAACAACAACAACTACACCAACAACACCAACACCAACACCAACAGCAGCAGCAACAACAACAACCACTACCAGCTACCAATGCGTGGAATGTGTTGAAAAGTTCGATTCCAAGGAACTCTTCGATATCCATCGCAGTGGTCATGCCAACAACATGAAGTGCGCCATCTGTAACATGGTGCTGAAGTCATTGAAGAACTATGAGAAACACTGCCTGCGCTGCAAGCCGTACGAGTGCCAGATATGTGGTCGGGTGGTCCGGTTCCGGCCCAACTTCATCAAGCATATGCGCGTCCATACCGGGCAGCAGTCGGAGCGGCACAAGTACAAGTGCGAGGTGTGCCACAAGGAGTTCATGAGCTTCGAGTACTTCAAGGTGCACAAGAAGATCCACAACGAGAACGTTAATCTGACGTGTGAGATCTGTGGCAAGGTGTTCAGCGCCCTGGCCTCCCTACGAGGACACTCCAAGCTCCATTCGGGGGTCAAGCTGCACAAGTAAGTTTCGGTTTCTTTTCAAAAATTTTGATGGTTTTTCTAATGCATTTTTGGGTTGCAGGTGCGATGTGTGTGGCAAGGGCTTTGGGCAGCGCTATAACCTGAAGATTCATGCCAGGACGCACACGGGCGACTTTCCCTTTGAGTGCAAGATCTGCAAGAAGAAGCTGCACACCCAGTCGTCGCTGCAGACGCACATGCAGGTCCATTTGCGGGATCAGCCGGGCGGTGCGACAACGGGAGCGGCCAACTCCAAGGGTCATAGTAACTCCAGCAATGGCAACAATAGCAACTCGAGCAGCAATTCGGGGAATAGCAGTGGCAGTGCGACGAAAATTGTAAAGCTCGAGCCACCCCAGGAGCTGGAACGGCCCGGAACCAGCTCCCAGCAGCAGCAGCACCACCACCAACAGCAGATGGATATGGACGATCAGTCGGGTGTGAGTGGGGATGAGGATGATATGGTGAACCACTCTTCGTCCTCCTCGCACATCGTGAACGCAACCACCAATCGCTTGACCACCGGCGAGGACTCATCCAATGAGTCTTCGAATGCCTCGCTCCACCAGCAGCATCACTCCTCGTCCTCGTCCTCGCCAGCCACGCATCTCAACTCGCAGCAGCAACTCCCGCCGCAACAACAACAGCAGCAGCAGCACCAACAACAACAGGTGCAACAACAGACCCAACAACAATATCTCGTCTCGGCACCCACACGAACCATTGTCATTAAGAACTATATGCAACAGGGTGGTGGCCAGCAACAGGCGCAGGCCCACCAACAACAGCAGCAGCAGCAACAGACCTCCGATCCAACGCCCGTGCTGCATGCCCAGGTCATCCAGAGCGGTGCAGGCACCAGCAACGGCAGCGGGAACCACCACTTAACCACCGGCAATAGCAACACGAACAGCAGCAGCAGTAACACCACCAGTGTGCTGAGCAATGGCTCCCAACTGATACGGAAGACACCGATCATTCATCATTCGACCGGCAGCAGCAGCAGTGGTCCGGCGCTGACCAGTGTCGTCCAGCAGACAGGTGGTAAGTATCTGGTTTTATCCTTCAATCTCGAGATTCATGATGTCCTTTTTAGTCATCTCGCCCGCACAATCGCCATCATCGTCCTCCTCGTCGTCCACGGTGCTGGTGTCCAAGGCCACTGGTGTGCCACTATCGATTGCCTCCTCGGCGGCGGTGGCTCTTGGTGGCTCCACCATTATACGCAGTACAAGGAATCATCACCAGCAACAACAACAGCAGCAGCAGCGAGCGACGCAACAGCGTAATAACCACCGAAACCACCACCGACGCCGCCATCTTGCCGATATGGATGACGACGAAGATGAGGACGAGGATCATCAGCATCAAACGCACCAGCCATTGAATCATCATCATCACAGCCATAATCACCATCACCATCACCACAACCATCATAACCATCACTTCGATGACGATGATGATGATGAGAAATCTTCACCGTCCCTGGCCACAGCGGCCATCATTAAGGTGGAACCGAATCTGTATAGTTCCGGCTCCGGCGACAACTCCAACGACATGTTCATCAAGGAGGAGGTGATGTTCGAAGATTCCGCTGCACCGCACTCGCCTCAGTCGCCGCCCAGCTCCAAGTTTCGCATATCGAACTTTGACAGCGATCTGGTGGACCATCATGTGGACTTGAATCATTCGCTGCCGCCGTATGGGAATCTATTCGAGCCGCACTCGATACCCGACAGCATACCGGTGCAATTGTATCCGGACGATGATGACGACTTCCGGCTGGACCATAGCTCGTTGGGGGGACTGCATAATACGACATCGTCGTCGACCACCGACGGGGATTTCATCAAGAAGGAATGGGTCTACGGCACCGGCACCAGTTCCTATGCCATGAACGGCAAATTCGATGACGACAGCGATGCGTTGTGCGATGCTGCCAACTTTATATACAATTGAGTGACGGCAGCAGCCGCTGTTCTAATGCAGACGAAGGGATATGAGGAGCAGAAGGAGGAGGATATGGATAAGGAGAAACCAGAGCCGGAGCGGAGCATCCTGCGGCGTGTTCATGATGCGGCCATGTGGAGCTGAGCTCGAGTTTTTGAAAGTTGAATGGTTTTTTAGTCCAGAATCATAGCTATACCTTACTATATACATATATATATATATATTATTTAATCTATGTATATATCTATATGTATATAATCTTGTACCCCCCCCCCTCTACACACACACACACTTGCATAAAAAACAACCCAAGGATGGAGCGATTTGTTGGAAGATAAAAAAAAAAAACAACTAAAGAACTAAACTATTCCACTATTAAATCAAAGTCACAGAGATCCTTAGAATTGTAGAAGAAAGGGCGAGATTTTTAAAGTAAACTTTAGAGATGGAGAATATCTTTCAATAGAGATTTCTGTGATATAATTAGTATAAACCCCTATATATATTCTAACTATATATCTTTTTTTTGAGTGCAATTTTTTTTGGGAATAATCCAGTAATTTTTAAAAATATTTTAATTGAATTTATTCTTGCAATCTAACAAGTCGCACCATCCCGTCCCCTATATTTATATGGATATATCTTCGATATATACACTGTACGTATTTATACTATATGTCCACATATAGATGATTTGCTATCTCTGTTGCGCTCGTGATGATCTTATAACGTGATCTTAAGTCTAAAAATGTGTAAAATTTAAAATTTTCGTTTTCTGTGTTTCTCTAATTTTTTTATTTAATTTTAATTTTAATTTTTAATTTTTTTTTAACTGTTGTAGTTGTGTTTATTGCTCTCGCTCGCTCACTCTGAATGTCTCCGTCTTTGTTGCTCTCGTGAGATGTTTTTCCTGACCTGTCTCTGTCTCTCTCTCTTTCTCTCTCTGTCTATCTCGCTCTGATCTATATATATAAAAAAAAAAACCCCCCACCACCCCACCTTTTCTACAAGAATTGTGTAGCCGCCCCTCTCGTTATAAAAACTTACAAAAAAAAAGGAAAATCTCTTATGAACAAAAAAAAAAAATTGAACTTGAAACCTTATGTGAAACACGAATTGTTTATATTAAGCTTATACATATATGATTATTTTTTATTTTTATTTTTTACACAAATATCACATATCATTTATATCCGTCTTTCTGTATGGTCCAGCACATTGTGTGAATTATTAATTTTAGTTCTTGATCTCTCGGCTTAGTTTTTTGCATCCAAAACGAAAGAAATTTAGTTCCTGATATATAACTCTCGAGAAATTGTATTATAATAGATTTGTAGATTATATATATATTATAACACACATTACACATATACAATATATATATATTATATATTTAAATATTTAAATATTTGTGAGTGGATTGTACTTGGTAATCAATGTGCTGTCTCAATATGGAAAGATCGTCCTTAAAATATATATATATATATAGATATATATATCTTTCAGTATTGGCGCCGTAACAGAATCCAAAATCAAAGTAAAAACTATTATTATGTTTTCCCAAACAATTTTGATTTCATTTTATTTTTCTCTCCACTTACCTAAAGCACAGTATTTTTTTTTATTATTTTTTAATTTTGCAAATGATGTACCACTTAGATTTAAATTGTAATTTAGTGTTTATTTTTTTTAACTGAATTTTTTTTTATACAATTTTAAGTGACTCGAAAGCTCGTTCTAATGTGCAATCTCTCCCAACTACTCAACCTTACTTCTCTTCATTGTCTTCGAACCTCGAACCCCCATGGACATGAACATTTTGTGGTTTCCTTAATTAGTTGCTAAGTTATCCTTGCTATCAGATACAAAACATAAACACAAACACACACACGATATGATTTTTATTGCATTATATATACAAACATATATACCTTAAATAGATAATCATTAGCTAAGTATAAGTCTAATTTTTGTGTAGTCTCTAAGCTGGAAGAGCATGCTTTAGCTTTAGCTTTACGAACCCTAACTCTGCTTAATCATACGAATATATAACCCGAAATGCCCACACCCACACGAACCATATATATATATGATATATGATTATATATATATATATAGATAGCAGCTGTACACATACATGATCTTAGCGTTAAAAACTCTATAATTTGCATTTAAATCCTATTTTGTAATCATATTTTTTTGATTTCGCTTTCATTTGCCAACAAAAACGCAAACTGAGACGATACGATGATTAAAAATTATTCTAAAAAAAAAAGATAATGGAAAATTTTTAAGAAAGAATATTGAAATTTTTGAAAAAAGGACATGCCGTATATCCATCCAATATATGGGCTGTCCAAGTGGGAGAAATCGTGGAATCAGTGGATAAGATTCAAACTTAAATTATAACAAAAAAAAACTTCTATCAAAAGCATTTAATGTTAACACAGCATCAGCATCGTAATAAATAATAAATCTACATAAAATCTATATAAATAAATTAATTCAAAATATATAAAGAATATATCTCTATATGTATAACAAAAAAATTAGCCAACAATTGTAAAATGTAGCTGAGAAATTCACGTTTTTTCATATATATATATATAAATAAATATATATATTTAGCATAAAAAAAAATTAAACCTAAAGCAAGAGAATATTAAAAAAAGAATACATTTTTTTTGTTGGTTATTTGTGAAAGTTTTTTCGATTAAAATTTTTTATTTGCTTTTTTTTGTGTGCTTGATTCTAAAGAGTAATTAATGATAATAATTGTTGTTGCTTGACATTTCGTTTGTTACTAAAAGAAAATATTAATAATTATTAAAAAAAAGAGTCGTTAATCATAAAAGCCAGATACACTCACACACACACACACACTTACATTACATTACACTGAAAAGCTCAAAAGGGATAAACGCGCAAAGAAAAGAGAAAGAAATAGAGGAAAAAAAGATATTTTTTATTTTTATGGATTTGTCTTCCGCACGAGTTAAAGTTCGGTTCGAACAATGTACAAATTTCCATTTGATGAAATCGATAACCAGCGATTAGCGATAACTTCCCGATAGATCACAAGCCCCCCGAAACCGTACTCCCCAACCCCATACACACAGAGACCGCCCCTAATAGACCCGTTTAAATTGCCTTATTTGCCGGAAGAGCGGAGAATTGCCTCCGGGTCTCTTCGGGACTAAGAATTGAGCAGGAAAATATCTCAAGCAATAAAAACGAGACGAGAACACAGGTGGGAAGAATCTCGGAAAACTCATCGTTTTGATAGAGCACTGCCCCCACGCCTTCAACAAAATAAAAGATAAAGAAAAACTTAAATTTGCATATAATAATAATAAAAAATAATATGATTAAAAGAAGTCACACGCCCCCTTCATCATTCAAGATTTAAAGAAAAAAAAACCCAGAACACTTTCAGTTTAAAAAAATGAAAAAATTTTGTACATTTGCAGAATGGAAAGTATTGTAAGATTTAAAAAAAAAAAACAAATCTTTAAAAAATATAAAAACTATTTTATATAACAAGAAAAAAAATGGAAACTTTGCACCACTACAACAACAAACAACAACCAACCAAACCAACCAAAATTTTTAAAAATTTAATCTCAACGACTGCGCACACAACAACAACAAATTTTTTGTATTATACTAAAAAAATAAATAAAAACAAAAAAAAAATGAAGGGAACGTTGAAACTGGCAAAAAAAGAAAACAAAGATAGTGAAAGCAAAGTGAAACATATTTTTTTAAGTGTAAACCAGGCCAGTGAAATGGCTTGGGCGCCAAATTTTCTGCAATAAAAAATAATAATAAAAATATTGAATAAAGTAATATTGTAAACTTTATAGGCCTATATATACACACACACATACACTCAAACTACACACACACACAAACACAGAACATAAAATAATAATATTCTTGTTAGAAAAAGGAAAGAAACAAAAAACAGTCCAATTAAAAAAAAAAATATTAAAAAAAAACATTGAAAGCATATTCACACACACTTGTATTTAAATGTATTTAAGTTTTGTTTTAAAAATGTTTTTTTTTTGTTTCAACATAAAAAGTACCTAAAAAAAATCAGAGAGAAAAATAGTTAAAAAGTGAAATTGAGAAGACAAATATGGAAAAAATTTTAAATAAACTTATTTCTATGTGTCTCCCTTTCAGTGTAATTTTACAAATTGAAATTATTAAAAAAAAAAAAATAAGGAAAACAACACATAATCATATTAACAAAAAGCAAATAATTAATATTAAAAAAGAAAATCGTAACTAAGCAAGAGAAAACAATTAAGGAAATCGTATAAAGATGATAATTATTTTTAAAACAAACAAAAAAAGAAAACAATTTGTTATGCACAAAAAAAAAACAAGAAAAAATATAAAAAAAAAAGAAAAGCCAAGATTTTTTAAGTTACGAATTTGTTAAAAAATGTAAAACTGGAAAACAGAACACGCGACTTTTTAAAGCATTTTCGAGAAATATTGAGAAAGAAACCCGAACAATTTCAATCTGAACAACAACATAAAGCCCACGAAAGTATATCTATATATATATAGTATATATATATATATAAATAACAAATAAATAAATATATATATATTTAAATAAATTATGTATAACAGGAAAGGTAAAGTAAATTAAACAAATCGTATTTATACACTATGAATGTCTAGTCGTATTTTCAGTATTATGTAAACCGCCCCCTCCCTTTTTCCCACTCTTCCCCCACCCCAGAAACAACAGAAAAAAAAACACAGTAAAAAAATAAAAAATAAAATAAAAAAAAACACTATATTTAGAAAGCTAAGCTAAATGAATGTGAAGAAAACAAATTTTTGAAAATGCAACCTAAAAGCAACAAAAAAAAAATGAAATATATAAACCAGAAATTATGTGTGTAGCGTGTACAATAAAAAAAAATTAACAAGAAAGATGAGAAAAAAAAAACAGAATATGGTAAACAATTTTTAGAAGCATTTTTAACACGTAAAAAATAAAAAAACAAACCCAAAACTAAATGTTTACATGTGGCAAGAGAAAGATGAAGTGAAAGCGCAAAAAAAAATTTAACGAAATATGTCTGTTTTTAGTGTTAGATTTCGATGTAAGAAAACCACAATAAAATATAAAAAAAAAAAAATCCAGAAAAAAAGGAAAACCATATATATATATACATAAAAAAAAATCATTACAAATTACTAAATCAATGTGTGTAAACAAGCGGAAGAGATTTTTTGATTAGAAGATATAGAGGAATCATGTTCTTGATTTTGATTTTTTTTTATAAATGCCATGACGACACCTGCCCATGGGATTAAATATTTTAAAATAAAACGAAAAAAATGGGAGAATATTACTGTATGATTTACAATCTCTGTATGTATTTGAATCTTTATATATTAATTTTAGTTCTTGTGTATAAAACAAAAAAAAAAAACAAAAAATATATAATTCGTACATTTTGAAAATGAAAAATCAATTTTGAAACATTTTTTAACCATACTTTTTAACGATTTAATCTTAAAGTATACATACACATATATATACATATATTATGATTAACCATTTATTTTTAATTTCTCATTTAGCTAACATTTAATGGATTTTTATTTTATAATTTAACACCAACGAAAATGAAACAAAAAAAATATATGAATGTATTTTGTCAGATTACAAATATTTTGTGTTTCAATATTTTTCAAACCTATTTGTTTATTTATTTTCAGCCTGTTTCTTGTGTTTGTCTCTGATCCCAAAACAGGATGTTTCATATCAGATAAATTATGCATCTATCTGTATAAATATCTAAATATATATTAATGTAAAAAAAATCGAAATTAAAACAAGAATACGATACACAGCAACAAACAAATGGAAAATTGGCGCAATTTGCTCAACATATTAAAGGAAGACACATCATAAAAAAAAATAAATTTCCTTAAAATATATAACGGTTTATTTTGACCCTGTTTTCCTTTTCATTTTCATTAATAGTGGAAATTTTTAAGAATTTAGTTTAACTAATAAAAACAAAAACAAAAAACGAAGTAGAAGCAAACCCATTAACAAAAACTACTCGAACAAAATATATGAATAAAAAAACCAACAAAACCCATATATATTCCAATTCATGATAATAAAAAAAAAAGAAAGTGGAAAAAATAATTAACAAGAAGAGAAACCGAAAAGGAAACCAAAAACAATCTAGTTTTTATTGTAATTCCGTGTCTGTGTGTGTATTTCAGTAATTATTGTAAAAAAGCCGAAATCGAACAAAAACCCAAAAAAAAAAACAAACACAAAAATAAAATCAATAAGAAAAATGGAAAAAAAAATTCCCAAACAAAAAAATTGTAAAAATCTAAATAACACAAAAAAAACAAACACTGAACATAAAAAAATGAAGGACAAAACATAAAGAAACTAGCGAAATAAATGAAATACAAAATATTTGAAAATAAGGATTTTCTTTTTATTTTATAAATGGTACTCCCAAAACAGAATTTGGGATTTTCCAAGGGGTACCATAAGGATTTTGGCCAAAAATTTGGTCAAAATTTTTTTTGCAGGATTTTAAGAATCCTTAAATGCAGATCGACGAAGGATAGATCCCTGATTCATAAATGGTACTCCTCGATTTCTCGATTTTCCAAGGGGTACCATAAGGATTTTGGCCAAAAATTTGGTCAACATTTTTTTTGCAGGATTTTAAGAATCCTTGGATGCAGATCGACGAAGGATAGATCCCTGATTCATAAATGGAACTCCGATTTGGAATCGGTTAAGAAATACTAAAGATATCTTCCAAAAACTGACGAAAAACAGAATTCTCGATTTTCCAAGGGGTACCATAAGGATTTTGGCCAAAAATTTGGTCAAAATTTTTTTTGCAGGATTTTAAGAATTCTTGGATGCAGATCGACGAAGGATAGATCCCTGATTCATAAATGGTACTCCTCGATTTCTCGATTTTCCAAGGGGTACCATAAGGATTTTGGCCAAAAATTTGGTCAAAATTTTTTTTGCAGGATTTTAAGAATCCTTAAATGCAGATCGACGAAGGATAGATCCCTGATTCATAAATGGTACTCCGATTTGGAATCGGTTAAGAAATACTAAAGATATCTTCCAAAAACTGACGAAAAACAGAATTCTCGATTTTCCAAGGGGTACCATAAGGATTTTGGCCAAAAATTTGGTCAAAATTTTTTTTGCAGGATTTTAAGAATCCTTGGATGCAGATCGAC